TTCCCTGTTTGTACATCATTGTATTTACAGTATATATAGATTTATGTATTACATATATCAAAGCCCATTGCAGTTACTTTGCTATACAATATTCTAGATTTTAGGTGATTCATACTGTTTCGTTGTGTGGGAAATGCGAGAGACTTGTGGTAGTAGTGCTAACTCACCCTCTGAATGTTTAGTCCTGATTTACACATGAAAAAAAAATCAAGGATGGTCCAAAATTGGTGTGCCATTTGCTTTTATGCAGGATCTTCTGTCTCACTATCTGTGCACCCAAAATACAACCCACGTCCCAATAATAATAATAATTCTTGCATTTGATCAACCTATTCAAGTCGTTGAGACGTCTCAAAGCGCTTCACAGAATATACTGTAAAGTGGAGTGACTGTATATTTTGTGGGCAAAACCCAGTAGCCAATTGTGCACAGCAGCGTCCCACAAACAGTCGTGGATTGAGTGACCAAATTATGATTTTTTTTGGAAGGGGTTATTAAAAAAAAAGTCATCATCACAAAGACCCAACAGCAGCCTTCAAAGAAGTGATTGATTTCCCATCTCCGCTTTCAATGGTCATCTCTACGAGTTGCCAGGCAAAGCACTCGAAAGGAATATTTGATTTCTACTCGAAGGCACTTAGAATACAATGAGCTAATTGTCAGCAAAGAGAACCACAGAGGCTGTAGATGGCCCTCAACAGAACAAATATCACGTGGCATTGTATAAACTGATCCAACCTGGCAATTAAACCAATAAGTGCTTTTGTAACAGTGCTTTTATTGCATCTTAAACAAAAAAAAGTCAAAGTGCTTCACACAATGCATTACTTTGATGTGCATTAACTGTGTATCTGTAGACTCAGTTGATAGCACTCTTGCCTCCAGGGCAGGGAACTGTGGGTTCCAGTTGGGACTTTGAGCTCAGTGTCGAGGCTGAAATCCCCCCAACCACTCCCTGAGGGTGTGTTGCATTGTCAAGAGGCGCCATCTGTCAGGTACGACATTAAACCAGGTTGTGTCTGCCTGTTCAGGTGCACATTAAATATCCCAAGGCCACCATTCGAAAAGAGGAAGGAGTTTTTCCCAGTGTCCTGCACCCTGAGAAACCAATCCTCCAGATAAAATTGTTTTTTCACTTCATGGCTGTTTGTGGGACATTCCTGGGTGGAAACTGCCTGTCGTATTCAACAACAACAATAACTTGCATTTATAAAGCAGCCTTCACTTGGGGTAGCAACCTGGAGCTACAAAATAAACTACAGTAAATCCTGTGAAATGTAATGAGACTTTGGGATGGTTTCACCAAGTTATCAATGCTTTCTTTGCAGAGCATTCACCAGCCGAGGATTTGTCACTCTTTAAGTAAGGAAATGCAAGGGTTATAAACAGTTGTGTTTCCTTATTACCCATATTAATAATGACTCAAAGTGTCCTGCAAGTCCCCAAGAAATTAATGTAATAAGGAAACACAACTGTTTATAATCCTCGCATTTGTTTACTTAATGGGTGACAAATCCTCGGCTGGTAAATGCTCTGCAAATAAAGCACTGATAACGTGCTGAAACCATCCCAACGTCTCAATACGCTTCACAGGATTTACTGTAGTTAATCCCTCAAAAAAATAATAATAATTTGGTCACTTCAATCCACGACTGTTTCTGGAACGCTGCTGTGTTTCGCCCACAAACACACAGTCAATTCACTTTACAGTATATTCTGTGAAGCGCTTTGAGACGTCTAGAAGATGTGAGAAGGCATTATATCAAATGCAAGGATTGTTATTATTATTTATCCTCAAAGTTATTGAGTATAATTCTTTCATTGTGTTTTTTTCTAATCCCATTCACCGGCCGTGATGTCCCTCGCCCTGCCGAGTGTTCATTCGTTCCAACAGCTCAGTTGGTAAAGCTACAGCCTAGTGTTAAACCCTGAATCAGACCGGCTCAGTGCATGTAACCCAGTCAGTGCCTCTGCCTAATTAGCTGATGTCAGGCAAGCGATGAGGTGTGTGACATCAATAGTCCAGGGTAAGTGATCAGAAATCCTGTATCAGTCAATCATTGCTGCTGTTCACTGTCTCGCGATCATTCTCTCCCGAAATATCATGTGGCACTAGCTGCTGAATGGTGAGGTTAATCTGTTGACCCAGCAATAAACTGGAACCCGATTGTTAGACGATTAGTGGATCGCTTTTTCTCGGTTAATAATTTCTTCAAAAAACAAGTAATAATACTACATTGGTCACTCAATCCACGATTATTTGTGGACACCACTGTGCCATATCCTTGAATTTGATATAGCATCTTATCACGTCATTAAGACGTCTCAAAGCACTTCACAGGACATGCTGCAAGGTGAAGTGACTATATAAATTTGTGGGTGAAATACGGCAGCTAATTGCACACAGCAGTGTCCCACAAACAGTCGTGGACTGGGTGACCAAATTATTATTTATTTGTTTATTTAAAGGGATTATTACCCCACGAAAAGCGATCTGCCAATCGACTAACAACCGGGTTTGTTACCCTGCATTAGGTTGCACTGTATAAGTACAAGTTGTTGTATAAACACTGGCACAGACTAGTTGGGCTGAATTATCATTCTCGATAATTTGTCTATCTTTTGAGACATCGGAATGTAATATACAACCAACAGGTGACATCATTTAGCACTTTAGCAGCACATGGCATGTATTAATGTTAAAGTTAATTATAACACACTACTTTGGAAGTTGCAAAGGAGGGTGTATGTCACATACTTATTTAAAACCAGTTAGTCACAAATTATTTTAGTGGAATTTAATTACAGCTATCAACTTTGTGATTAAATCACCAAAGTGCCATTTACGCTGTTTCACAACATGTGTACTGGTGTGTCATCATAAAGTGACACTGTAAAGCTCTCTGAGACTGTACCCTGTGCGAAGGGCAATGCTTGAAGTACAGGTCATGTCATTAAAATAGAGGCATCCGAAGGCAGTAGTAAGTGGAGGAGAATTTATTTTGCCAAAGGGGTGGGTGGCATGTGTGGAACAAACTACCAGAGAAGGTGACTCAACAAAGAAACATTCATTGTAAGAGAGATAGATGTTCCATGAGACAGAAGGGATCCTTTGGGACCTTGGATAATGCAGACAAGCCAACCCAATGGTCTGCCTCTGCCTGACATTGTGACTATCTTACTAGTCTCACTAGGTACAGTGCATTGGATAGACAACAACAACTTTCATTTATATAGCGTCCTTCACGCTGGGGAGCAAAACATTGCTCTTGTGGGACGTTGCTGTGTGCAATTGACTGCCGTGTTTCGCCCACAAAACACACAGTCAATTCACTCGACTGTATGTCCAGTGATGCGCTCAAGACGAGATAAGGCGCTGTATCAAATACAAGGAATATTATTTTTTTAAATAAAAAAACTTAAGGGGTAAGATGCAAAGGTGGGATTATGGGGAGGTTGCGGTTGGGACTGGGATGGACAGAGATAGAAATGATAATAATAATAATAATCCTTGCATTGTTATTGCATGAGTTGGCTCAATGTGCGGAGTCAAGTGACCTTTTGATGGTCCTGATTTATAATAATAATAATAATCCTTTTGATATAGCGCTTTTCACGTCGGGAGGACGTCCCAAAGCGCTTCACAGAACACACTGTAAAGTGAATTGACTGTATATTTGTGGGCGAACGCGGCAGCCAATTGCGCACAGCAAAGTCCCACAAACAGTCGTGGATTGAAAATGACCAATTTATTATTGTTTTTGGTTTTGGAGGGATTATTATTAGGCTCTGTGTGGAGTAAGGAAACTTGCCCGAGGTTTCGCCCTCTGCCAGGAATTAAACTCAGGTCTCTCACTTGCAGAGCGAGTGCTCTAACCACTGAGCTGCAGGATTTGCTGCAATGAGGGATTAACACAAACCCTATTACTGTTCGTGCACTTCAGGAGCAGTTCCCAGTCTCTGAGGCTCCGTTTCCTAAAATACCTCCGACTATGACGGGGGAAATCTTCAAAGCAGATTGTGTACAGGGAGTGGGGCACTCACTCACACTCACTCTCACACACACACACAGGGAGTGGGGCACTCACTCACACTCACTCTCACACACACACACAGGGAGTGGGGCACTCACTCACACTCACTCTCACACACACACACAGGGAGTGGGGCACTCACTCACACTCACTCTCACACACACACACAGGGAGTGGGGCACTCACTCACACTCACTCTCACACACACACACAGGGAGTGGGGCACTCACTCACACTCACTCTCACACACACACACACAGGGAGTGGGGCACTCACTCACACTCACTCTCACACACACACACAGGGAGTGGGGCACTCACTCACACTCACTCTCACACACACACACACAGGGAGTGGGGCACTCACTCACACTCACTCTCTCACACACACACACACAGGGAGTGGGGCACTCACACTCACTCTCACACACACGCACACAGGGAGTGGGGTACTCACTCACACTCACTCTCACACACACACACACAGGGAGTGGGGCACTCACTCACACTCACTCTCACACACACACACACAGGGAGTGGGGCACTCACTCACACTCACTCTCACACACTCAGGGAGTGGGGCACTCACTCACACTCACACTCACACACTCAGGGAGTGGGGCACTCACTCACACTCACACTCAGGGAGTGGGGCACTCACTCACACTCACTCTCACACACTCAGGGAGTGGGGCACTCACTCACACTCACACTCAGGGAGTGGGGCACTCACTCACACTCACTCTCACACACTCAGGGAGTGGGGCACTCACTCACACTCACACTCACACACTCAGGGAGTGGGGCACTCACTCACACTCACACTCAGGGGGTGGGGCACTCACTCACACTCAGGGAGTGGGGCACTCACTCACACTCACACTCAGGGGGTGGGGTGAGAGGACCCGAGTGTCGGGTTTCTCAGGTCGGTGATTGCACTATAAAGTCACACTGTGACGCTGGAAACACAGAGTCACAGAGACACCACTGAGTACACTCCTCGTTCGGTTTAGTTGATTGCGATTGGGTTTTGAGGCTATAAAAAGGCTCCACTCCGCTCACGAGAGACAGAGAGAGAAGTAACTCAAACCAGGAGCCAGAGGGGCATCACCTAAACCAGGAGCCAGAGGGGCATCACCTAAACCAGGAGCCAGAGGGGCATCACCTAAACCAGGAGCCAGAGGGGCATCAGCTAAACCAGGAGCCAGAGGGGCATCAGCTACACCAGGAGCCAGAGGGGCATCACCTAAACCAGGAGCCAGAGGGGCATCACCTAAACCAGGAGCCAGAGGGGCATCAGCTACACCAGGAGCCAGAGGGGCATCAGCTACACCAGGAGCCAGAGGGGCATCAGCTACACCAGGAGCCAGAGGGGCATCAGCTACACCAGGAGCCAGAGGGGCATCAGCTACACCAGGAGCCAGAGGGGCATCACCTAAACCAGGAGCCAGAGGGGCATCACCTAAACCAGGAGCCAGAGGGGCATCCACCAGTCCCCCCCCACCAGACGGGATGAATCCCCGCTGCCCTCTGTCTGTGAGGGTTATTGGTGTTATGCAGCACCAGAAGCGGAAGGTAACCGACTCCCCTTTCCCTCCATCGCTGTTGAAATACATAAATGTATTAAAACGTAAGAGGGTATATAAACGGGAGAGCGATGTGAAGCGGATCAGCGGATCGCACTGTGAGTGACGGTCACATCTGATGTGGTGTAATGATGATAATTGATATCAAACACAAGGATTGCGATTACTGCGGTTATAATGAATGCAGAGGCCGAGGGTTCGAGTGCTATCAACAGTTCAGGTGCAGCTGTTGAGCTGATACCCTGTGGTCGGACAGATCTGACTTTGTTTTGTGAATTGTCTTAACACCTTTTCTTTCGTCTTTTTCGTAACTCAGACTTTCCTCACATCGGTGCTGTGGTCCGACCAAAACGATGTCATCGTCTACAGGACCTTTGAAGAGTTCAAGAAGTTGCACGTAAGGAACATCCAGTCTTCTTGTTAAAACCTTTGATTAAAATCCTGTTTGTGGGACACTGATGTCTGCAATCGGCTGCCGCACTGGTTACCGCAAAACACAGTCACTACACTTTGCAGTATATTCTGTGAAGCGCTTTGATTATTATTAAACAATCAATAATAACCATTTATTATTGATTATTTAATAAACCCCCCCCCCCTCCGCCCCTTTCGCTGAGTCCGTTCGCCTGTCCCAGGCGTTGGTGCCATCCTGTTCGCTTGTTCCTTGTTACTAATTTAATATATTTTTAATTTAAACCCACAGAAAACACTGGTACAGAAATTCCCCGTGGAGGCAGGGCGCATTAAGAAATCCGACAGAATTCTACCCAAGTTTCAAGGTACGGTGACAAATAAAAAGAAATAGAAAACAAAAACCCTGCAATCATTTCAAAACAAAATGCTTCATTTCACGAGCTGTTTGTTTCGTGAAATGTGTTTTCGCTTGTGGTTGGTGTTCCAAGTTCCACTTTGTTTGTATATATTGTAAATGATAATAATAATAATAATAATTTAGTCATTCGATCCACCACTCTTTGTGGGGGACGCTGCTGTGCGCAATCGGCTGCCGCGTTTCGCCCACAAAATATAGTCAATTCACTTCACAGCTGTGAAGTATTTTTAAGACATCTCGAAGATGCGATGAGGTGCTATGTCAAATGCAAGGATTATTCTTATATATATTATGTATTTGGTAATAGTGTGTATTATAATAATGATATCCTTACACGTGATGTGGCAATTTTCGCATCAAACAAATACAAAAAAATGCTTCTTGATCAATGATGGTCATTTTCCATTTTAAAAATATTTTTTTTTAAAAAAATTACAGCGTAAAGTTAAAATGTTTGTTCTACATACCTGAAAAAGAGCTCTTGTGGTTGAACATGCGAAGCGTTTAAATTGTGGGCTTGGGGTATGACTCTCCCAATGCTTTGTTCAAGCCAAATGCAAGGATCCATTGTTATTATTATGATAATTATTATTATTATTATGATTATTATGGTATACAACAGAAACAGCCAATTCTGCTGTTCTTCTGGTGTTTTTTATCTTGAACCTATCAATCCCACTCTCCAGCTCCCTCCCCATTAACCTTTAATATTCCCCCTTTATGGATCAATCTAATTCCCTGTCAAAACGAATTGATACGACTTTGAATCCACAACAGTCTGAGAAATGCACACTTTGTGGGAAAAAAAAACTACTCATTCTCTGTATAAGTATTTTTTTTCTCTCTCTCTCGTCTGCCTTCAAATTTTCTTTGTGTGTCTGTCTCTACCTTCGGTATTTGCTCTGCAATTAAAATGGGGCCAATGTTTTATGTTTGACTTTCCAGATATTTCGTTGAAGGACAGGAGGCACAGGCGTGTGAGTAAATCTGTCCTCAGAGTCCAACTGCTGGAGAAATACTGTTCCAATTTACTGGACACCAGTGCGAAAATCTCCCAGTGTCAAGACGTTGTACAGTTCTTCCTGCCCAACAGTCAGGATCTCAAACCTTCATTCCCCTCAAACAGGTAAGCGGCAAAGGCGGGGATTATAACCCTGGTTAACATTAACGCTTTCTCAACCAGAGAAAAGATGGAGCAAAGCCATTTCCTGACCAAACTATTTCGCTCTCAAACTATACAGTCAATTCACTTTACAATGTATCCCGTGAAGCGCTTTGAGATAGTTAGAGATAGCTCGTCTCTGAATTAGACGCTTGTGGGTTTGGGTTCCATGTTGGACTTTAGGTTCATGGACCAGTCTGATACTCCCAAATGCAGTGTGTTTTGTGTGTGTGTGGAGGGGGGGGGGGGGTGGGGGGGAGAGAGAGAGAGAGAGATGAGACTTGCCCTACTTGAGAAAATAAGGGAGTTTCACTCTCCTGGAGCCAGGGGCTGGTAATTCTCCAGATAGAATTTGTCATCCACTGCATTGTTGCTTGTGAGACGTTACTGAGCTCAAACTCGTGAAGTGCTTTGAGACATCTCGACAAGGCGATAGCGTGCGGTATCGATGGGAGGATTTTTTTCCAAAATTCAGGATAACGCGCAAATTTTACCCCGAAAATTCAAGTCAATCGGTTATTCATCTCATCAATAGTCATGACACTTTGCTGACCAATTCCACCCGGAGTCTTGATTAATTCTATTGACAGAATAGCAGAATTTAGCAAAGGTGTTCAGTTCAATTTTAACTTTGAAGCCCGTTTTCTGTGGTTCTTTAGAGAAACTAACAGAAAACCGGCTTCAAAATCAAAAGCCTCAATAACACAGTGAATCTAGACTTGGGTGGAATTTTTAATTGGTGCTTTTCTTGAGCTGGGGCCAGCTAAAACCTTATCAGCTGGCCCAAGGGGACTTTTAATGTATTTCCTTCCTCTCTTTCTCTCCCCCACCAACCCCTTCCCCATCATATCGAATGTTTAAAGCGACTTTTGTTACAATGCAACCTGAGAGTTTTCTTTCTGTGTGTGTGTTGCTCCAGTATTGTTATCATGCCTTCTGGAGCCGGGGAGCAGACTGGTGACTTGAACGGTCCGAACAAAACTTCCATTCAGTCCATCACCCAGCCTGGAGTTCTGGAGAGCTACAGGTGTATTGCCTCGTACGAAACCAAAGACACCAAAAACAAAGCGTTTAAGATCCTGGAAGGTGAAATAGTCGATGTAGTAGCCAAGAACCCATCAGGTAACTTTTCTTTTGGTGGCATTGAGCCTTGGATCTTTGTTACTGAGTCAGACACATCACAGGGAACTCTTAGTAGTTGATAGAATCATAAAGCACAGAAGGAGGTCATTCTGCCCATCGCGTCTGTGCTGGCTCTTTGAAAGAGCTACCCAACCAGTCCCACTTCCCATATATTTTCCCCATAGATCTGCAATTTTTTTTCTTCAAGTGAATATCTAGTTCCTTTGTAAAAGTTATTACATTTTAAGCTTCCGGATTTGTAAAAGCCTTACGTGTGTTGGTCAAGTCACCCCCTCACACCTGCTCGGTGTCTGGCCTGACCATTGTAAAGCGCTCAGATGTTGTTTTATGGGAAGGTTACTATATAAACCTGAGCTGTTGTTGACCTCGTCATAATAGTCACACTAACTCTTTGTTACAGGATGGTGGCTGGTGGAGAATGACGAGAAGCAGTTGGCTTGGTTCCCGGCGCCCTATCTGAAGAAGTGCCTCAATGCTGCCCCCTCAGTGCTGCCAAATAACGATGAAAGAGGTAAAGGAGGGGGTGTCTCTGAGGATCTTGTTCGAAACATTTTTAAAATTTAAAAAAGCCTTTGGAGTGAACCTACCCCTATCTTGTCTCCAACTGGGCAATGCTTTCAAACCACTCAGTGCAAAGATCAAACTCAGCCCATTGTTGTGTGTGGGGTGGGGGGGGGGCAGCTGGGGACTGAACGCACTTTACTTTAATAATACATCACCGCGTTGTGAATCTCTGCAGTCCGACCTGACAAAAACTCGCTGATTTATAACCTCTCGGTATAGAATTTACACTGTATAGCAATACCACGGTTGCTATCGGGGGGACACTCTCACATTCTCTTAAGGCGGTCGTGAGGGCTTGTCTTGATTTGTGTTTACACGTAGTCCAGCACAGCCTACCCCAGCCCCTATCCATGTACATCTTACTGTCATTTTGAGGGACTTACTGGCCCTGGCAATTTTGAGTAAATTCAGTCCTGTAGAGTATCTGGTTACAATTGTGTAAACCACTGCTTAAGACTTTTTACAAAGGGAGTCAGTTAATCCAGTGCCGTTTGCTATTGCGAAATGCGGCTGAATTGATCTGCGACAGCAACTCTCGCAAGTAACTTTCACTCTCACTAAGTTCGGGACTGGCCACAAATGTAATTTTAAGCGTGCGGAATATGCCATTTTTTTAAAAAACAAAGCCGTGCGGCTAAGATTAAAGTTGCTCTTTTGAGTTTTTTTTTGGTTTCTGATACGCTTCACGTTTCCGGCAGCCACTTGGCCAACGTCTCGTAGCTGCCGTTTAAAATTTTGAGAGAAAGCGAAAGCCTTGACCCTTGGGCCTGTGCTCTCACTATTTCAGGGTGTCTATATTACGTTGTGACAAGCTATGAAGCAACAAACGAGAAGGACGAGCTGTCCATCCAGGAGGGCGTCATCATTCAGGTTTTGCAGAAGTCCAATGACGGCTGGTGGCTTGTCAGGTTAGTAGTTCTTCTCGTAACACTTTCCGAAATCAGTGTGCACACTTCCACACGGAACACCCTTTTGCTGCCTTTAACCCACAGTGCCTTATCAACACAATCAAACTTTTTTTTAATGAATTGCGTTGGTCGCATAAAGGATTTGCCATCTCCATCCGTGTGTCTGCAGATTCAGATTGTTCGTCCTCCTTGCATTCGATAAAAAAAAATCCTTGCATTCGATGCAGTGTGCAGTGCCTCATCGCGTCTTTGAGACGTCTCAAAGCGCATTACAGGATATACTGTAAAGTGAATTGTTGACTGTATATTTTCTGGGCGAAACGAGGCAGCCAATTCACTCTGAAAGCAGCAACGAAAATGCCAAGATTAACGAGATTTCTTTGTTGACCAACAGGTACGCTGGACAAACTGGCTATGTCCCCTCTGTGTATCTCCAGCAGTACAGAAACCCACATTCAAAATTCCAGATGCTCACAAAGGCCAATATGTACACCTCCACACCAAACCTCCTCGCCTCTGTGAGCTTTCTGGAGAATCGGTCAAACGGAGCCCTGAGGAGCCACACGAGTCCAGTTGATCAGACGCAGGGCGGTAACAAGGAGACAATGACATTGACCAGGAAACTGTCAAAGTCAATCAACTACTTGCCTGACAATACAACGTACAATGAGAGCTTCCACAATTCAATTGAGTCAGAAAGTGGCTCGGAGAGTAACAGTGATGACATTAGCATGACCACCGTGAGCTCAAGCAAGTCACACTCCTCCGAGGATGTTAGTTTGTCAGAGAGTTACAGTGCGCGTCCAGCGTCTGACGATGAACCAGCGAAGAATAATTCTGCGCCTGTCCTGTCTGAGAAGAGTTCTGCCACCGTCCCAAAGCCCCAAATCCCGCCAAGGCCACACACTCATGAAATCTTAACCAAATGTTCGACCGTCACTAAAAACATAATCCTGAAAGCTCAAAACAAAAAGCCTCCACTTTAACCTGATGGTGGGGAATACAATCCGCAAAGAGCGCTGAAAAGATTGGTGGGAAAAAGTTTAACAAACCATTAAGTAAACATTTTTGCTAAGTTGTGTTGCAGTTACAATTTTAAAAGGTTTTAAAAGGTTTTAAAAGCCAATACATTATGTTAAACGTGTCAGATGTTGAGTTTTAGCTTTTGTTACATTAACTGACGTAATTACTGTGCAGCAAGGAATCTTGAAACACCCGTAGAACAAAGAGGGGGATTATTAATCCCCCTCTTATTATATTATATTATTATTAATTTGTTGTACTAAGAGATTACTACATTTGGCTGCTTTCTTTCTGAACCGCCGCTAACCCTACAGCCTAAGTTAAGGTTGTGCAGGGATGTGCAACTATGGAGAGGAACAAAACGTATTGGCCAGAGAAAGATTGTTTGTAGTTAGCGTCATTAACGAACTTACATTTTACAGAGAAGTTCCACATGTAAATCTAGTGTAGCCTAATCTTTTTTTTTAAAAAAAAGTAGTAAAATTAGTTTGGGTTTAGGGATATGATGATTGAGTCTTTTTGGGTTACAATATTGACAAGTTTTTGCATGTGTTATTTTTGTAGTGAGATTCAATTTTTACAAATCTCCAGTATCAGTATCTGACCTCCACCCATTACATTGCTCTGTCTTCCTCCACCCATTACATTGGGATTTATTTCAAAGTCGGGCTGAATTTCTTCATTGCTCACGATCATGAACTGAAAGTGAACAAGGACAGTCTTCAAGACTTTCAAAGAGGGTGAATAAATGAAAGTTACAGGCAACCTGTTTTCCTAATTTCAAAAAAGTAACAATTGGCTTTTGACAATTACGTGTTATTTTCATATTGAACTTTATTTTCCATAATGGAAAAATGTTTTTTCTACTTATATTGTCTTATCACCAACTTATATTAAGATTCAGTAACTAGTTGTTTCCTACGTACAGCATGGGAATGACTACAAATAGACTTGTGTGCCTCTCTCTGAGTCATGTTGCTTGCTTTTAGGTTACAACTGGTTGTACAGTTCAGCTATATTTGCTGTATATTACCCATGTAAACATTCAAACCAATTCTGTATTTTGTATTCAAAAGTATAATAAAAAAAACCTTTGAATGTTCATGCGAGTTCTGACATTGACTATTGTTTTTCTGCCCATTGATCTTTGCCTTTTTCTTGAGACAGTTTGATCTTGTTGTTCTTGTTTGTGGCATTCAGTTCCAACTATTCAAAGTGAAAGCAACAACACGCACTCTGTCAATTAATGAGACATTCACATTCCTGCAAGATTACAGGACAGAGCAAGGGATCACAGTAGTTAGCTCCAACAGAGGAATTAGCACCAGCAAAGAGCACGCCATCCACCCTACAATTACTAATTCCATTACTCAACGTGTTTCACAGATTATACTGTAAGTGAATTGACTGTATTTGTTGTGGGTGAAACCCGGCAGCCAGTTTGCGCACAGCAGCGTCCCACAAGCAGCCGTGGAGTGATGACGGATTTTATTTGAGGGATTGTTCTCTTTTCGAACAGTACTCATGGGATCTTTAACGTCCACCTGAACAGCCAAACAGGACCTCAGTTAATGTCTTATTCGAATGATGGCACCTCTGAAAATACAGCAACCCCCAACACGGCATTGGAGTATCAGCTTAGACTATGTGATTCCAAGTCCCGACGTGGGGCTTGAACCCACAACCTTCTGACTCAGAGGCGAGAGAGAGAGGGTTACCAATGAGCCAGGCTGACACATTCGCTTTCCCAGGAATTCATGTAAATCTTCACTAAGAACCTTAGGGTAACCTGGATCAATATTTAACCCCAGATGTGATCGAGACTGGTTAGTGACGATACACAGTGAATGGCAGGCCAATCAAGATAAGGATAGAAACGCTTCTGAAACCAGTAATACAAGACAGCGCCCCACCTTAGATCAGCGGAAAGAACCACTTTCGGGAACGCACCATAACGAACCAAACTGCAGTTGAGAACGCAAATCAGAAACCAAATGCATCCCAACACTACCCCTCAGTCATATGCCTTAATAGTAATCTTTGCATTTGACACAGTGCCTTATCACATCTTCAACACGTCTCAAAGCGCTTCACAGAATATACTGTAAAGTGAATCGACTGTATATTTTGTGGGCGAAACACAGCAGCCAATTGCGCACAGGAGGGTCTCCACAAACAGCCGTAGATTGAGTGACCAAATTATTATTATTTTTTAAAGGGATTATTACCTCCAGAAAAGCGATCCACCAATCGACTAACAACCAAGTTCCTACTTATTTCTGGGAAATAGGCATGTGTTGTAAGGAAACTTGTCTAACATTTTGTCCTGCCCATACTGTGAACAGATGACTCATTTCACTGCATCAATACCATTCACCATCAGGAATAGCTATGGAGGGTATTGGGTGCGTACATGTGAGTGCAGGAAAACTACACATACTCAACTATTAGTGCGTCAGAAGCTTTATAAAAGGTTAGGAGTTTTCTTTTTAGGAATTTCCCCGGTTGCCAGAGTGCTCACCTCCAGTCTAAGAGGTTGCGGTTTCATGCACCAAATCAGCTCATAGTCCAGCCAGGGTGGTCCAACTGGTGGAGCCAGTTCAACCAGTTCAGCTCCAAGGAGACCTTGTTTACCTCCCAAGGTGGATAGCTATTAGTTAACTTATTTGACTTCAGACAAGCACAGCTTTGAGTCCTCATTGAGTGGATAGCAGCGAGTTGTCGAGTTGCGCACAGCTCATTTTTTTAATCTTATTTTGAAAGGGATTGTCTCGCTTCCTTTTGGCCAACAGTCCTCCAGATAAATAGATCAGTCACCGCGTGAAGCTTGCTGTGCGCCAAACAGTTGCCTTGTTTGCCTGAAGAAATGCCTGGGTAGTGATTTGAGATGTTTTCAGCGCGATGATTCCTTCTTTTGAACAGATGCATTATACAATATACAGGCTTATCTCACAGAGGTCAGTCTTTGGGGTAGTGACTCATCCAAGTTTTTATAATTTCTTAACAGAAGCCTCTTTCACAAGCCTCTTTCCCAACACAACCCGCAACAGAGATAAGATATGCACCTGTGCTTATTATTGCAGCCATCGCTGAATCTTCAAAATAATAATAATCCTTGCATTTGATATAGCGCTTTTCACGGGACGTCCCAAAGCGCTTCACAGAACACACTGTAAAGTGAATTGACTGTATATTTGTGGGCGAACGCGGCAGCCAATTGCGCACAGCAATGTCCCACAAACAGTCGTAGATTGAAAATGACCAATTTATTATTGTTTTGGTGTTGGAGGGATTATTATTAGGCTCTGTGTGGAGTAAGGAAACTTGCCCAAGGTTTCGCCCTCTGCCTGGAATTGAACTCAGGTCTCTCGCTTGCAAAGCGAGTGCTCTAACCACTGAGCTACAGAACTCCAAATGTATCAAAGCTTGACTACCCTAACTCCCTGCTCGCCAAACTTCAACAGAGAATGGACTTCTAAATATTCTTTTTACCAGTGTGGGTGGAAAAGCTGTGCTTAATTTCCAAAGAATTGAGGATTGATGTTCAAGATCCTAGTCCTCACCTTTAAAGACCTCCACAGCCTTGCTCCTCCTTTCCTCTGTGACCTGCTAAACCTTTACCAACAGTCTTCCTGCCCTCCCCCTCTGGAACTACATCCTAGAATCCCTCTTTCTCGTCCCCTCCTTTGTCCTCTTCAAGGTCCGTCTCAAGTCCTTCCTCTTTGACAGTGCCTTCGGTCATCTTCCCACCTCGACTCCAGCCTCCAGCTCGGGTGCAAACCCTTCACTGTCCTGAACCTTGGGATGTCCTCCTGAAGTGACAGGCCTTATATAAATACAATATGTTTGGCTGCAGCGTTTCGCCACAAAAATATAGTCAATTCACTTTACTGAACAACAACATGATTGCATTTATAGAGCGCCTTTCACGTCGGGAGGACAGTTACTGGACAGTTGGGTCAGGACCCGAGCAAGGGGCAAATGGTCAGGGTGAGGGGAGGGAAGGGAGGGAGAGAGGAGGGGGTAGAGAGTCAAGAGGGTCGCTGAAGGCACGGTTGAAGAGAAAGGTCTTGAGACCGGCCTTGAAGGAGGAAAGGGAGGAAGCGGCAAAGGCACTGGGGATGGAGTTCCAGAGCCTCGGGGATGAGAGGCTGAAGGCCCAACCACCGATGGTAGGGCGGTTGGGGCGGGGGATGTGGAGCAGACCGGAGCCAGAGGAACGGAGGGTACAGGGGGGTACGTGGAGGGATAGTAGGTCGGAGAGGTAGGAGGGAGCGAGGCCGTGAATGGCCTTGTAGGTGATGAGGATCTTGAATTCGATCCTCTGGGGGAGTGGAGGCGAGCGAGGGCGAGAGTGATGTGGGCGCGAAGCCTGGTGCGGGTCACTACACGAGCTGCAGAGTTCTGAATGACCTGCAGTGTGGAGGGAGGGCCGGGAAGGCCGGTGAGGAGAGAGTTCCCGTAGTCCAGCCTTGAGGTGATAAAGGCGTGGACCAGTTTCAGCCGCGTGAGGGGTGAGGTAGTGCCGTAGTCTGGTGATGTTCCGGAGGTGATGGAAGGCGGTGCCAGTTGTGGAGCGGATATGGGGGAGAAAGGACAACTCAGGGTCGAACAGAACACCGAGGTTCCTGACCGGCTTTGAACAGTCAATACAATGAATAAACTGACATCAAGTCTGTGCTGAAGTAACGGTATTTTATGTGGCAGAGAATACAGAAGAAAAATATTGCAATTTGACAACAACGGGGAAAACGGTTTTGTAGGCACTTTACAAAAAATAAGAAATTTTAAAAATCCTCCAATTCCTTACACCTCCACTGTCTGTGGTCCGGAACGAGGGACATCAGGGGGTTCCCAAAGGATGACTGACCTCAGATGACCTTAAGGAGCGGAGCAGCGAAACCTGAAGGAATTTATTTCAACTGCAAACGAACAATGGGATAATTACACTTCACAAGAAGTGAGCCAAGGCTGACTGATACTCAGCTCCTCAGCTTTTGGTTTTTCAGCCTGGCGCTGACTCTCCTCGTTATTACTTTGCTTGCGGCGACAACGTTTCCAGTTGACCCCCCTAATATTCCCTCTTCCTCCGATTCCTTGTCATTCCTCGTGGGAGGCTCCAGATTTTCTTTGAAGTGTCCTCTCTGGGCTCGGCGCGACCCCGACGCAAGCCGCCCCTCCTGCTTTCCTTTGTTGGCCGCGCTCACATCCCGGTCGCTGTCCTCGCTCTCCTGGGGATCAGTGGCAGAATCTGCCTCCTGGTTTCCCAGCAGGTCATCGCGGGGCAGCACAGTGTGGGGGGCTTCGTCTCGCGCTCTGTCAGACGCTGCAAGCGATTTGCCCGACACTTCAACCTCCATTGCCTCATCTTGTGGATCAGGACCACTAACAGGAAAAGCCAAGATTTCTTTTTAAAAAAATGAGAACCCAAAATTTGCACCACCCAATTGACGCACAACAGCTCATTAACATCAGTTATTTATCGGCATTTTTACCAGTGTTCACCCTACTTACCCCCTCTTCTCCAACAGCAACCATGCGCAGTTTTAACAAAAAACCTCAAGGGCAGTTGACTGAATTGCTACATAGAAATGCGAAATATCTGCAGCAAAACCACAAATCTAGGACTGCCGAGGTGTAGAGACACAGAACATAGTCAAAGATTCCCAAACCTTCTGGTATCAAATTACAGTAAATTATTATAAAGACTAGAATCTTTCCCCCATTTCTCAATCCACTCGTTAAAGACCTCGGTCCCACATTTACTTCAAGCTCCCAGCACGACTCCTTGCTTCATCCAGCGTGCAGACCCTTTTAATATGGTTACAAATTACTTATTTACAACGTACATTATTATAAATCACTTCACAGCCGCTCAGCCGCAGAGCGTATCGTGTTGAGCTGTTAACCAGCTGTTTGTAGATTCCTGACTCGGCTTCACATACAGCAGCACCGAGCATTTGTGACTGATTCACTCTCAACACGTCCAGTGCCTTAGGGCCGTTTGTGTTGTACAGTAGATTACAAGCATTTTGTGTGTGTCTATGCGCGGGAGTCTGTACTAACTTGGGCCCAGCGAAACACAGCAATTTACTGTTTTCGAGCGTCATTGGAAAGAAAAGAGGCTTCTCATCCACAGCACCACCCAACTGAACACAAGCCCCGGCCACACTCCTCTCCTCCCCAATTACTACGTACCTGAATTTGCCGGCCAGTCTCATGTTCTCCCACATATAGTCCAGAAACATGGAGGTCTGCAGCAACCTGCTGATCCTTTGAAAGTGTCGATCTGCAAACGTGTAATAACAGGGCAGGGTTTTGGTCAACAGCAATAGAGCAATCTCTCTATGGTCAAGTGCTATCAGCATCTGGCTAACCAGTCTCATCAGAAAAAATGCAACAGCCTTTGAAGAGAAGGGAAAGGCAAATATTGACTTGCAGATTGCAGCGGATAAATATTTTGTCATCCGGAGGTGACAAGGGTGAAAGAATGAGTTCAGAGACAAATTTGTGACTGAACATTCATCTCTGGAACTCCATCCCAGAGACTCTGTGCCTTAACTCCCTTCCCTCCCCCCACTTCCTGCCTTACAACCCATCTATTTAAATGCGCTTTTAATCATTATTATTATTATTATTAAATGCGCTTTTAATCATCTCCTCCCACCCCACTGGCAAGGCTCCCAGTCGATTGTGTGTAGCGCTTTGAGACATCCATCCCACCATGAAAGGTGCTACATAATTGTGAACTGCAGATAATTATTATTATTATTATTATTATTATTGCTGGTGAATCAAATATAAGTGCAAGAAAAAAAGTGACTTGCGCTAATCTTTTTGGATAAGAGCAAGAGGCACTGTATACACCACCTACCCTCACAGTCCAGTCTCATTACGCAGTGATGAGTTAGTTCCACCATCAGTGTGTTCACTGTTAAACCAAGCGCCCATATACTTACTTCGAAGCGCTTTGAGACGTCTCAACGACGTTACATCAAATGTCAAGGATTATTGTCATTACTATTATTATTTGACTCGACCAACAAGGGGCAAAGGTTGAGCAATTACCTGTATAAGGGAGGAGGCCCTCAACTGCAGCCTTGATGCCTCCGAACTGAAGTAGCTGCTCCGGAGTCTCGTGCTTTAACAGGATCTGGATGACAGTCTGGGCCTCGTGACAGTTTCGAGAGTTTGTGTTCCACACTGTGGTGAACTTCAATACAGCCTCTGGTGGTAGTGGTGGGGGGAAGAAACATTCTCTTTAACAACGACAACAACTTGCATTTACACAGCGCTCCTCGCGCAGGGTAGCGACCCAGAGAGCTTGAAGCGCTATTGATGAACACGTCGCATGTCACGCACACACACATATATATATAAACATATATATATAATAGAAATAACATCAGGATTTTAGTCTCATTTATAAAAGGTGAGATTTTGACCAAATTGATAGCAACTGGCAAAGACATTCCCTTCACTGTTTTGTTTGGGTCAACCGGGCATCTGACACATGTGGAAACCCACCACCGCGCTCACAGGAAATTCCCGAGTGGTAATAATAACCATCCTTACATTTGATATGTCTCAAAGCGCTTCACAGAATATGTTATAAAGTGAATTGACTGTATATTTGCGGGTGAAACACAGCAGCCAATTGTGCACAGTGATGTCCCACAAACAGTTGTGGATTGAGTAACCAATTGATTGATCGATCGATTGATTTAAGGGATTATTAACTCCGCAAAAGCAATCCGCCAATCAACTAACAACTGGGTTCCTACTTACTGCTAGGTAAACAGAGGTATGTGTGTGTGGAGTAGGGAAACTTGCCCAATGTTTTGCCCTGGCCAGGAATCTAACCCAGATGTCTCACTTGCAAGGCGAGTGCTCTAACCACTGAGCTACAGGACTCCACTGCAGTTCATGTCAACTCATCACTATTTGCAATGCTGCCCATTTGCCACTGAATGCCTTCAGCTGAAGTCCACTTTTGTTTTAAACATTTCGCCCTGCCAGGGATAGAACCCAGGTCTCTTGCTTGTGAGGCGAGTGTTCTAACCACTGAGCTACAGGACTTACTAACGGAGTGGAAGGTGTACTCTCACTCTCTCTCCCTGGCAGGACACATCCTGCTTACATACTTCCAAAGTATTAAGCGCAAGCTGCTGAGAGCCAAGGCTTAGGAGAGCCCAGAGTGTGCACTGGGATAACTGCTGGGAGTCAAACCAAGTAAAACCGCAAAGCTTGCCATTATATCACTACCTGGAACGCTTTCCTAGGCTTGTGCACGGTGACAAAGGGTTGAAATACCAGAGACTGCATCAGTCACGTAGCCAACAATTTTAAAGTTTAAGGGAATGTGTTTGTTTCCTTTTGGAAATCTTGACAGCTTCCTTGTTCCTTGTCGGCAATTTGTTACACATCACACTTTTACAAGAAACACTACACTTCCTATTCATCTTAACTGCCCTCGGCATTTATTTTTGGTAACTTGCAGGCAGTAGTAAAATTTCATCCAGATTTTTTCAACCATCTATCGAACCCACCGTGACCCTCAGTTTTTTCAGAAATTTTCCAATATCTCAAACCTTGTCTATGTCAACAAGTCTTTACTCGATGCCTTTGCTACTCCCAATTTTGTTTGCAAGTCTCCTTCAGTTCCTCAAGACTGTCCCACCACCTCCTTACGCTAAACAATACCTTTCTGGTCTGGTCTCAGTTTGAGGATCGTTGCTTCCAGCCTCTCTCCGTCATTAGATTCTCCAAGAATAGCTTCAAAAATGGGAAAAGAGTACGAAGGAACAATTTTAAGAATCGAAAAAAATTAAATATTTTAACGTCGCACTTTTAAACCTTGCTCATCTTAAGATGATTGATTAATTGATTGTCTGAAAAGTAGCTGGAATATGAACTAACTCTTTCACTGAACTGATGTAATTAAAAAGAACATTTAACGGAAGAATTAGGCACTTGATTGCACATTGTAAAAAAGTTTAAAAAGTATTTTTTAAATGGATCATCAATTTCCTCCTTAAATTCAATTATCCTTATCAGATTTTGTGTATAAAGGATTTGCTGTGTAGCTTATCACGTCAAAACGTCTCAAATCACTTCACAGGAATTACAGGATGTACAGTGTAGTGATTGTATATTTTATAGGCAAACATAGCAACCAATTTGAGCACAGTATGTTCCATAAACAGCCACAAACTGAATCACCATTCTTATCTTATCTGCAGGTTTGTTGGCCAATACACCATAAGAAACCCCCTTCAATTTTCGAACTGTGCCAAGGGAGGTTTTAACGTCCAGCTAAACGGGCAGACAGTATCTCAGTTTAATGTTTAAATCCGGCTTTTAAATAAACAAAAAGAGACTTTAAAAAAAATAAAGGATTGTGAAATTGATATTGCTGTGTCAATACAAACTTCAGGTGACTGTATTCCGTACTAATATTAACTTACATAACACATGAGGTGTGTACAATACACACTTAGTAGGAAACTGGGTAGGATATTCACAGTTGTCAATTAATGGGCTGGCAGCAACCAGCAGTCATCAATTAAACTGTCATCAACAAAGTTTGTAGCACACGAGGCTGCCATTCAGGCCATCGCCCTTGTGCTGATATTATTATTATTATAGCTATTTACTCTAATTTAATTAAAGGGCCTTTCCTTTTTTTCAAAAAATAGTGTTCGATAAACAAAATAATCTTAATTACCTCTAATCACCCGAAGAACAGTGTGCGGCTGATCTAATGAGATTGCCAATCCCAAAGCCTTTAGATAATTATTCTCGTGCAACATGTTTGACAATTCTTGTTGCCTAAGAAAAAGAAACATGAGAAATCTATTAGGTTCATAATCAGCAACATATCCATTTCTTGCTCAGCCCTCTGAACTCACCAACCCCGTGCCTCCAGTGATGTAAACACAATTACAAGCTCAACAACTAAATAATAATAATAATCTTTGCATTTGATATAGCACCTTTCACGTCAGGATGACATCTCAAAGCGCTTCACAGGATTTTATTGCGAAGTCAAGTGACTGTGTATTTGTGGGCGAAACAGGGCAGCCAATTTGTCCCAGACAGCCACGAAGTGAGTGGACAATTTTAATATGTGGGAATGTTGGCATTCGCTGACCTTTTTCACGGAGGGCAACTCCTAATGAGCGCTTTGCGGAGACGGAGAACAAGCGACGGAGGTAACTGTACGTACTGCATAAACCATCGGCTTTCAGGTGGCATTTAAAAGGAAAATAAGTAGAGCAAGGTGGAAGGTGGGATGACTTGAGCAGTTTCAGAGGGTGGGAGAATGCTGGCTGAAAGCTCAGGCGGCAGTGGTGGGGAGAGAGGATAGCCAAGCGAACCATGTCACAAGTGTTTATTAGTAAATAAAATGCCCACGTTTCTCATGACAAAATAGGACAACATTCTTCAAACCCAATGTGTAACTCACTGGTTAGAGCCAGTCAATCACAGGAGCTTAAAGCACAAACCTGTTGGCATTCAAACCTCTCCTGTTCTCTCCCACCTAATACTCCTCGCATTTTTTGCATTTGACAAATCGCCTTATCACGTCTTCGACACGTTATGTGATGTTAAAAATCGTGCAAAAATGCAGTTGGGTTTCCCTAAAACGGGTCACTGGCTGAGGGTATGTGGCATTATTATTTCTTGGGCAAAAAAAAAGAACAAAGTTCCTCCTTCTCCTCGACCGAACAATTTCAGGACCAAGAGGCCAGACAAATAACTCATTCCCAACAGCATGATAAAATAACGGCACCATTCAGCAATGCAATCTGTTTGTCATTTATTTATTTCTTACTGACTTATTTGGAAAGCTCTCTCCCTGAAAGCTTAAGCTAAATAACTGTACAAACAATGAGCCGGCATCCTACACACACACACACACACACACACCGAGCCGATAAATACACCCACGGCCAACGCAGCTCACCAGTCAACCATTGATACAGATAAAGGATGACCAACAATTGTTGGACAAAATCTGGAAAGACTGTAATAAAGTCACTTACATTTCTCTCCTCTCAGAGCTAAGTTAAGAGAAATCGACCAACCGCTTGTGAAACACATTTGAAGAAAATAAAAGAATTTCTGGCTTTTTTGGTTCACTTACTTCAGAATCTGCTCTTCCTGTATGGCCTGTGCCTCAGCGAGCTCCGTCTCTGTCACGTCCTGAAATAAACGCACAAATAACACTTAATCGGGTGTATGTCTGGGATTGGGTTTCAAAAGTGGCTTGAAAGTGATGAATCGCTTGTTTTCATCCTCTCCCCTCTCGACGCCCCCCCCACCCCCACCAATATAACACAGGAGGTAACAAAGAGGGGAGGGAGAGAGAGAGAGAGCGTGAGAGAGAGAGCGCGAGCGAGCTCAAAGCACAGGTGATACCACAGATGTAACATCAGTGACTAAAGCCTTTAAATTATTTTTAGTTTAACCGCCGTCTCCCTCCTACCTTCCAGAAGATGATAGACGAATCTGCCGAGCCAGTGACCACCAGATCGTCCCCCTTGTTACTGTGGAGGCCCCACACCTTGCCTTCATGGGCGTCTAATGTCTTCACACACTCATTGGTTTTGATGGTCCACAGCTTCAGGAGACCATCAGACCCGCTGGAGACAACAACAAATCACATTTGTACAACAACAACTCGCATTTATACAGCAGCCTTCACGTGGGGTAGAGACCCGGAGAGCTTGACAGTGGCGGAGTCTGACCCCCGAGCAAGAGGGAGGTGACCGTAAGCACAATCGAAGAGGAAGGTCTTTAGGCGGGGTTTGAAGGTGGGGATGGAAGGACGGGACAAGGCGGAGGGAGGGGGCAAGGCGGAGGGAGGGGGCAAGGCGGAGGGAGGGGGCAAGGCGGAGGGAGGGGGCAAGGCGGAGGGAGGGGGCAAGGCGGAGGGAGGGGGCAAGGCGGAGGGAGGGGGCAAGGCGGAGGGAGAGAGGGGCAAGGCGGAGGGAGGGAGCAAGGCGGAGGGAGGGGGCAAGGCGGAGGGAGGGGGCAAGGCGGAGGGAGGGGGCAAGGCGGAGGGAGGGGGCAAGGCGGAGGGATTGTAGGAGAGAGTTCCAGAGTTTCGGGGCATAGTGGCTGAAGGCGCGGCCACCAATGGAGCGTGGAGCGATGGGGCCGAGGGATAAACAGGAGGCTGGAGCCGGCCGAGCGGAGGCAGTGGAGTGTAGCGCCTTTCACGTCAGAAGGATGTCCCAAGGGACTGATCACCAGAGAGACCAGAAACAAGCAATAGTAAAGCGCTGGTGGTGTGGCCCTAAGCGAATGCTGTCTTCCAATAGAAGCAAAAGGGCCTCCCAGTGAGGAGGCGAGGGCCCCGCTCTTGGCCTGTAAAGACGCTGGAGGTACCTTGACAGGAGCTGAGTTCCGTGGCTGACGAAAATTATTTTCAAGACGGAGGCATCGTGGCCTTCGAAGGTCTGCAAACAACACAAATAAAATTCGGTTTGGGTTTGGTCATCATGTGGAAAATATCCTGCTCCTGTAAGCCTTGTCACAGCTACAGCAAAGGAGGTCCCTTCCCACAAAATGGCCCCTCTCTTTCTCAGTCACTTAACAGCAGCAGCAACAACACATTACATTTATACGGCGCCTTTCACATCGGGAGGACGTCCCAAGGTGCTGGACAGTCAGGAATTTGGACCTGAGCTGGTGGATGGGATCAGGAAGGGTGCAGGGCAGGGAGGATAGGGGCAGGGGCGTGACCGAAGGCGCGACTGAAGAAGAGGGTCTTGAGACGGGCCTTGAAGGAGGCGAGCGAGGGAGGGAGGGAGGCCAAGTGATAACTACCTTTAAGCACCCGAAGTCTTTGAGCCCCCAGAGTCTGATGGTGCCGTCTGCGGAGGAGGTGGCGAGGACCTGGTCCATGGGGGAGAACTGGACGGCCCAGATTCCGCGCTTGTGCCCCCGAAACACACCCAAGAGGGCAAGGTCAGAGGCTGAGAACAGCTTGGCCATTCTGTCCTGAGAGCCGGTGGCGATCAGTTTATTGTTGGGAGACACCACGATACTGTTTACATCCTGCGAGAAACAAAGGATGAAACGTGAACTCACTTTCCTCTCTCCATAGATGCTGTCTGACCTGCTGAGTCTTCCCAGAACAAAGAGTCGTTGGTGAATCATATTCCCATGTAAGAGCTTGAAAGGAAGGATGATTGTGGTTCACCTCTCCCTCACAGGCAGGCAAACACAACGGTGTCTGGGCACCGGCAACACAATATCCCGAGGTCAGAAGAGACTTACTTTATCGTGTGCCTTCTCAGTCAGGTGAGCGTGGAGGACCTGGGGTTCTGCGATTTGCTCGCCCCCCTTGGCACTGACGGTGTCTGGGAGGTTCCACAGCTTAATGGTACAGTCCTGGCTCCCACTGACCACAAACCTGGCTTTCAACCTGTAATCGCACAACCTTCATCAGCCTTCAGGAGACTGGCGACCGAGTCGACAACAACATAAACTTCTATAGGGCCCTTCACGTCGGCCGGCGTCTCTAAGCACTTAATCCCAAAGTCCACCCAAAACTCAATTTAGTGGAAGCTACAGCGAGCAATTCGGCACTGTACATAAACAGCAAAAAAAAAAATGTGGTCACTCAATCTGGTGACACTGCTGTGTGCAATTGGCAGTAGCTTTTCACCCACAAAATACGTAGTCACTCCACTTTACAATATATCCTGTGAAGCGCTTTGAGACTTCTCGACGTCCCGCTAAGGCGCTGCATCAAATGCAAGGATTATTATTGTTATTGCTATTATGAGCAATTGGCAATAAACATACAGGAACAATCTACTGCAAGGATTATTATTTGTTTCCATTGAATCGACACAGCTCGATCGCCTTATGTAAGGGGCAGTGTAGTTTGGGTCATTTTTTTAATACTTTGACAGAAAGCGGGGTGAGAGTCAAAGGAAAGCAGGATCTTCCATACCGTGAACAGGATATGATGCCAACCCCATTGGCATGACCTTGACCCTGTGCCATGCAGATCACTGCTCCAGTCCCCTTACTCATCCTCCAGACTCGAATGGTTTTGTCCTGAAACGAGGAAGGAAAATGCCCGAAGTTTTAGTTGGTGTTGCAAAAAGCGGGTGAAATCCTGATCAGGTCCATCGTGTTTGAAAATATCCCGACTAGATACACAATGCAGAGAAATACACTAACCTTAGAACAACTAGCAAACATGGTGCCTTTATGAAACACATCCAGGGCTAATACAGTGTCTGAAAGAAAAAAAAGTAAACGTTCTGCTTACAATACACAGCACAGATTTATTATTCAACAGTTCATGAGAGTAAGGTAACTTAGCATCTAGTTTGCCTACGAAACACACAGTCACTACAACTGCCAGTAAATCCCGTGAAGCGCTTTAAGACGTCAGTCAGCCTGACGTGAATTCAAATGCAAGGATAATTAGTATGTTTTCATTATTATTTGGTTTAAGTGTCAACAATAACCGCATCAGTGTAGATGAAGTGAAAATAGTCAAATTGACCGGAGTAGGGCATTCAAAACTGGAACGATGCTTCAGTGGGGAAGGAAAGCTAAAAAAGAATGTATATATTAAAAAAAACTATCTCCTTTGAATGCCATTTTGTCCTTAAAGTTGAATAAATTGTATGAAAGTGATTTGCTTGCACCAGTGCTGCTGAACAAACTCTAACCAGCTAAAACAGTGAAGGAAGCCTCACTGATAGTCCTGTTCGCAGTTAGTGTGAGACCATCGAAGTTCTGCCCTTCAAAAGGCATCAGTGCTCTGTGAAATATAGTGCGAGTGCGCCATACTGTGGCGTAAACATGTTACTACATGAGTGCGTGGGGGGTGGGGGGGTGGAGAGGGGGGGCGTGGGGTTGGATTCTGCACCACTGCATTTTGCCTTCTACTTTACTAAGGAGATAAATGTCAGTGAATATCACACAACATAAGCTTTGAAGATAGCAGACATTTGCCCGTGGAAAAAAATACTTTAAATTATGAAAAGCAGGACGACTGCGTATTTTGTGGGGGGGGGGGGGGGGGGGGGGGAGAAACGCGGCAGCCAATTGCGCACAGCAGTGTCCCACATAGAGTCGTGGATTGAGCGACCAAATTATGATGATTATTATTACACACACACACCGACAAGCTGGTAAATTTGCTGATCTAAGAAACATTTCCCCTCTAAAAGTGCTGTGCTGAAACCTACCGCACGCAGAGAGATCGTTAATAATTTAAGAAAGTACAGAACAAGCGAGTGCTGTTTTGCCGATAATACTACTACTACTAATAATAATCCTTGCATTTGATTTAGCGCCTTATCACGTCTTCGAGACGTCTCAAAGCGCTTCACAGGACGTACCGTTAAGTGAATTGACAGTATATTTTGTGGTGGACATCACCGCCGCTCTCTCTCTCCCAGACACAGGTAAACGTTCCAATCAGGTAGCGCTTGACACTCACCTGTGTGCCCGTAAAGGATCTGGCAGTTTAACGTGGCAAGCTCAAACACCTTGAGCTGTGGGCTGTTAGTGGCCACCACAATGTGTGTGTCAGCAGCTCCCAGGAACTTCACATCCAACACCTCATCATTGTAACCTACAAACTAACAGTGAAGAGGGAAAAGAAAGCCTTAAAAACAGCGGTCTGCTCTTTCAATTTATGGTTATTTACAGATAATGAACGGAACCTGTCCTTTGTTTATTGATAAACCAGCGACTTCTCCCTACAGCTACAGTACTATCTTAATATATTCTGTGTGCTCTGCACTGGTAGCACAAAGGACTTCCTATCGGAAGCATTTCTGGGCTCAACCTTAAGAGGAAAAGGCAGAAGGGCAAATGATACCAGCATTTAGGAACATGGACCTTCACCCTCCAGTTTCCTACTTGTAGCTTTGCCCAGCTCGACAATGAAAAGCAATAGTGACTTGCCCCAGGTTATCCACTAGCAACGACGTCAAGTGCTTAAGCAACGACGTCAAATGCTTAAGAAGCGCGTGATTAGCAAGGCTGAATTTCATCAACTAATGGACAACAGGTATAATGGGAACTGGATTTGCTTGAATTGCTGCGAACCTGCTGGTGGAGGGTCAGAGTGTGGAGGTCATGGAAGAGGATGTTGTGTTCGGCGGTGACTGTGGCGACGTGGTTTGTGGCTGGGACCAGCACACATTGGGTCAAGGCTCGAGTGTCTGTATCTTCGTCACTTTTCTTCTTGGGTCTCCCGGCTCTGGACTGGGAATAAACACATCTTCCCGAGCGAGCTTCCCAGACTCGAAGGATCCCTTTGGGCAAAGAGAGAGAAAAGAAGCACGCCGTTCAATGCCAACGAAATAATAATAGTAATAATCCTTGCATTTGATATAGCGCCTTATCACCCCTTCGAGACATCTCAAAGCGCTTCACAGAATATACTGTTAAGTGAATTGACTGTATATTTTGTGGGAGAAACGCGGCAGCAAATTGCACACAGCACACAGACAGTCGTGGATTGAGCGATCCAATTATTTTATTTTTTAAAGAGATTATTACCCCCTGAAATTGACTCGCAACTTTTAAATGCATGGCCTCTGCAATCTGATTTCAAACAAAAGTATTGGTGTAAACAACAACAAATGACATTGACATGGCGCCTTTCACGTCAGGAGGACATCCCAAGGCGTTGGACAGTCAGGGATTTAGACCCAAGCAGGGTGATGGGATCAGGAGGGGTGGAGGGTAGGGAGGGTAGGCAAGGTGAGCTGTGTAAGTAAAAATTTGGCACCTACCTTTATTGCCGGCAGTGATAAAATGATGATCTTTACCCTTCACCCCCAAGGCAGAGAAATCTCCATCTGCTGGCAGCAAAACTACTGCTTCTACAGTCTGGTAACGGGGCAAAGAGTTGCAAGTAATTAAAATGGAACCAAGGTATAAGAAGCAATTACTAAGAAGCTTAATAAAGCAGTTGCCTGTGCCGAGTTGGTTGACCTTAGCAGCACAGGAGTCACGATCGATCTCACATGGCCATTTTCATTCCTACGAGTTCTTTGTGCACCTCACCTCATATACAGGAACAGTCTTCTGTGACTTGTAGGTAGTTAAATCCCACACGGTGCAGATCTTATCACGGCCCGAGCTGAGGAAGATACAAAAAGCATATTTTACCCAAATCAGCAGAGGACGTGTACTGTACAAGAGGAAAAATACTGCAGATGCTGGAAGTAAAAACAGAAGCCGCTCAAGCCGGTTGAGATATTAGACGTTTTTATTTCTGCACGAGTTAGAACATGTGGAATGCGGCTGCTTGTTCAGGTAAGACTTAAGTTACTCCCAGTTTTGCATCTGTTACGACAAATTACATTTACACAACGCCTTTCACATCGGGAGATGCTGGACAATCAGGGATTTTGGACCTGAGCTGGGGGTTGGGTTAGATTGGGGTGGAGGTGGGGGGTGGTTGAAGATCAGGATAGAGAGTGGCTGCAGAGGAGGGTATTACAACAGTCACCTACAAAATGCGTAGTCAATACATTTTGCAGTAAATCTTGTGAGACGTTCTCCTGATGCGAAAGGCACGATATCAAATGAAAGGATTATTATTATTATTATCATCATCGATAAGCTAGCAGTCCTCATAGTCTGTTAAGAGGCACAGTACCTGATCATTGTATTTCCGTCTGATGTGAATGCCAGTGAGGTCACAGCACTGTAGTGAGCATCCAGCACCGTAATACACTTACTGGTGCTCAGATTCCAGAGTCGAATCTTACAGTCCATGGACGAGGAGAAAAGCTGAAGCCGTGACATGTCGGGGTGGAATTCAACCAGACTGCAGTCAGAGGTATGGGGGGGGAGACAGACAGACAGAGAAACAGAGGAAAGATGAAAGAAAGCATGATCGATTAAAGAATAACAATTTTTGTTGACTCCAACCCATACTGTCATCTCAAACGTACCATCAACGAGGCAGGCAGTGAAATCCCTTCTGCTGACCTGGCCACTCGATGTCACACCAACCGGCTTTCCCTGCGCGCATTCATACCACCACCCGTCTGCAATTGTCAGCGCTCTCCTCATGCATTTTACTGGGCCCTGTGACAGCGCAGCACAAATCCCAAGTGGAATCACTTTTCCCTGGTAGTATTATTTTTTTAAATAATTTGTATAATCATTTTACAGAGAACTCCTTCTGAGCTGTAATATTCCATGATGCTATTCTACAAGACACACACACACACTAGTGTAGTATACTAAGTGTAAACTAGTTTTGAAATCAACAGTGATGTTAAGAACACACAAATCCACAGAATATTTTGAGTGTGATGAATGACAGTGGGGAAAAGGCTCAAAAGAGAAACAAAAGTGCTGGCAAACGCTGGTTCCAGACCACAATAGCAATAGTATAACGATCAGTATGTATAGTCCTGAAATAACTGAAACTACCTGACACTCCATTCAGCAGATAGCTTTTGCTGAGACACTACACGCACTGGGCACAAACTTAAACCCTTTTGCCGCTCTGGTATCTGCGCTACTCATACGCTCACAGATTGATGTAACAGGGGAGTTAAACACGCAGATGAATAGCTTTAGTTTGAAGCATTAAAAGGTTTACTCAGAGTTTAAAGTCTTTTCAGTTTCCTACTTTACTTAATCCCTCAAAATGCACTTGGCATTCACTAAATCCCACTGATTTAACACTTTGGGACCAGAATGCCTCAGACCACATAATTAAATCTTTCCTTACTTGACAACACCAGAGGATCCCTTCAGGTTGTGGGTGCAGTACTGCTTGATAACATCCCAGATTTTGATGGTGCTGTCACAACCTCCTAAAGCAATAAGAAACGTACAGTGAGACATCCACTGCTTCCAATCAGATCACAGGATGAAATCAATGGCACGCACGCGTGTGTGTGTCCGCGTGTGAAAGAAGATCAAGGTCCATCCACCTTCACCTTCCATCATCCCCGGCAGTCGCTTGACATGTCATGTCCCAAACCATATACTGTGTCTCCCAGATATCATTTTCTAGCAGAAATCGATCTCATTTGAAGAGGTGGATGGAGCGACACGACATAAGTCCTACCTGTGGCCAATAGAGTTGAGGTGGAATCGAACGTCATGCTGGCCATGGGGGCCGAGTGAATGGCTTTCCAGGTGCGAGTGCACACGTTCTCTCTCCAGTTCCATTGCTTCAGCAGCAAAGCCCGACTGCCCGTCACCAACATCTGTCAGGGAACACGTGGCCAGATAGCAAAATGTCATGATACTATTTACAATACCTAAAACGTCTTTTAAGAAATGATTTTTTTTTCGATAATAGGGTAGATATCACAACGTTTTGGTCACCCTGTATTTTTGTTACTATTATTATTATTGTTGTTATTATTATAACACCCTGTATAATTTGTGCAGCTCTGCCAACCTAGATCTCTGTCTACCACTTACTGGGAGAATTATAAATGACTTAGGCTTTACTAAAACACGACTCCATAAATAACGGTTTACGAAAATAAGACACCAAAGGAATCTCATCTTATACAGATCTTATTCTGAGGCCCTTGTTACACTAGTTAAGATGAAGGCTGAAAGGAAAAAGACTGTTTGCTGCTGCATGAGATGCTGATCTTCACACAACTGGCATTTAAATATATACCTCATCATCGGGGCTGATGCTGAAGCAGGTGATGTCTTCTTGATCTTCCTGTCAAACAGAAACGGAAAAATGTTAGTTGCTATCAAAGCAGGTCAGAACTTGTGAAACCATCACATATTTAAGTGGTCCTACAATCTAATTGTCTGACTCTTTAAATAATCAAATCATTCTAGTCCCTTTCAGTGGAATGAGCTCAAAATGTAAACAACAACAACAACAAGATTCCATTTATAAAGCGCCTTTCACGTCAGGAGGACGTCCCAAGGCGCTGCACAGTTGGGTCATGACCCGAGCAGGGGGGAAATGGTCAGGGTGAGGGGAGGGAGCGAGGAGGGGGGAAATGGTCAGGGTGAGGGGAGGGAAGGGAGGGAGCGAGGAGGAGGAAGAGAGTCGAGAGGGGAGCTGAAGGCACGGTCAAAGAGAAAGGTCTTGAGACCGGCCTTGAAGGAGGAAAGGGAGGAAGCGGCGAAGGCACTGGGGATGGAGTTCCAGAGCCTCGGGGCTGAGAGGCTGAAGGCCCGACCACCGATGGTAGTGCGGTTTGGGCGGGGGACGTTATAGCACTGAAGTAAAGCTACATTGTTGAAGGCCACTGTTTATTTTCCCGCTTGTGTAGGGACGTAAAGGGGACTCCACATCCAAATGACAGGAGCTGTGAAACTTTTATTTCATTGATTTCTCACCTGCTCAATGCTCTGGGTGATTTTTCCTGTTCCAAGATCCAAGACATTAATCTTTGTCCCAAAACTGCAGAACATGTACTTTCCATCTTTATTGATCTGCGTTAGAAAAAATAATAGTAATAACTTTTCTTATTTTAGGAAACTCCAGTTCAATACAGTTTTGTATTAAAAAAAATACTCATTTATAATAATCTTTGTCACTAAAACTACAACTTAGCAGCGCTAAAAGATCACAAGGGAATCCATTTGTTTTCACGTGTTATTGCCCAACACAGCGAAGGGAGACACCAAAAGAAAACTACATTCATATTTTGAAATAAAAGCTGTTACCTGTACTTTGCCTCCTTTGTAAAAAGGTTCAATCTTGCCAGAGACAGCGTAGCTGGAAGAAATTGGATTTTAAGAAGTTATTCCCCCCAAAATTATTTGATTTAAAAATAATGATCCTCACCCGTGTCTTCAAATCCCTTCACGCCCTGGCGCTTCCCAACCTCTCCGATCTTCTTACCCTCCCCCACCCCAACCCACCCCACCACCCGTGGCCTCCATTAGACTGGTTCCAGCCTCTGGCACGTCCCTCTTCCCAATGCGTTCAGCCACTACGCCCTGAAACACTCTTCCTCTATTCCTCCTTCCCCAACTTCAGGTCCCACCTGAAGACCTTCCTCATCAACTGTGCCTACGGTCACCACCCCCCGGCTGGGTGTCCGGCTCCGCTCTGGGACGCTGCCCTGCGTGAGGCGAACTAAACAGACGCAAGTCGCTGCCGCTGCTGTGGTTAATAAAATTAAATACTCTGAGAACAGACACAGAGAGGAATGTTACTGCAAAACACCGTCACAGCCTCTGACAGACTGACTCTCCCCCTCCCTGACAGACAGACAGACAGACAGACAGGGCTCTGATTGATTGAATCTCTCCCTCATTCTCCCTGTCTCCGTCCCCCCCTCTCTCTCTCTCACTCACTCTCTCCCTACTTCCCTCCCTCCCTCCATCCACCCCTTTCTCTCCCTCACTCCATCCCATTCTCTCGCTCACTCTCCCTCCCTCCCTCCATCCGTCCCACTCTCTTCCTCCCTCCCTCCATCCATCCCACTCTCTCCCTCACTCTCTCCCTCCCTCCATCCCCCCCCTCTCTCTCCCTCCCCCCCCTCTCACTCTCTCCCTCCCCCCTTCTCACTCTCTCCCTCCCCCCCTCTCACTCTCTCCCTCCCCCCCTCTCACTCTCTCCCTCCCCCCCCTCTCACTCTCTCCCTCCCCCCCCTCCATCCCCCCCCCCCCCTCCATCCCCCCCCCCACTCACTCCCTCCCCCCCTCTCACTCTCTCCCCCCCTCTCACTCTCTCCCTCCCCCCCTCTCACTCTCTCCCTCCCCCCCTCCATCCCCCCCCTCACTCACTCCCTCCCTCTCTCTCACTCCCTCCCTCCCTCAGTCACTCCCCGCTGCCACTCACTTGCTTTTGAACTGCATGGCGCTGCTCGCCATGCTGGCCGCTCTGGCCTGGCCCGGCTCTAGAGGCCTGGGGCTGGAGTTGAAGGGCTCGCGGGGCTGGAGACGGCTCTTCTCTCTCTCTCTCTCTCTCACACACACACACGCGCACAGGGCGCCGGGGCCGAGCCGCACGCTTCTCCCTACAGCTTCCGGCGCTCTCTGAGTACGTCACGCTGGCTTCCGGTCCAGTCCCCATGGCAACGGTATCAACAATCAACGGTATCCTCTCCTCCAGAGACCCCTCACTGAGAGCAACAACAATAATATAATAATAATAACCACAATAATATAATAATAATAACCAAATCAATAATAATAATAACCACAATAATATAATAATAATAATAATAACCAAAATAATATAATAATAATAACCACAATAATATAATGATAATAACCAAATCAATAATAATAACCATAATAATATAATAACCACAAAAATATAATAATATAATAACCACAATAATATAATAATAATAACCAAATGAATAATAATAACCACAATAATGTAATAATAGCCACAATAATGTAATAATAACCACAATAATGTAATAATAATAACCACAATAATATAATGATAACCACATCAATAATAATAATAATAACCACAATAATAATGTAATAATAGGAGGGGTTTCTCCTGGTATCAGGTCAGCTGGAGAGGGAGCGAAGATTGGCAGATCCTTTGGGAGGTGGGGTTTGCCACTAATTAATGCGGATTTAATGTCTTCAACCTGCAACTGAGCAGGTGGGAACCTATTATCGGAACCAGTTGAACCCAGAAGGAAAGCACCATGGAAAAGGTGATGGAAGCAGAAACACTAACTTTTATCACGGACCAAGGAATGCTGACTGTTTGTCTTCTGAATTGTTCTCAAGTTCTATTGATCGCGTTTATTTCTCTCCTCCCTCCCCACCCACCCAACTTTGCCCTATAATTTCTATTTTTTTTTGCTCTTATTTGATGGGCTGGACCTGTGGCAGATGCTGTGTGAAAGAATGATATAGACTGAGGGGTGCGTTCAGGGTTTTTATGGAGTGGGGGGTATTTGTTGTCTTTGCACAGTGTCTTGGGAGCACTGTAAGTGAATTGAGGGTAATTGCTGTCAACTTGTGACTGTCATTATGGTCATACACAATGACTACACAATATCCATACATATATAGCAGCAATGTCCCACAAACAGCAATGAAGTGAATGACTAAACCACGTTATCTGGACTTTTTTTTTGTGTGGCCAGGACAACAGGGAGAGAAAGTCCCTTTTCAATTCATGTCATGGGATCTTTCAACAACCTGACAAAACTTCAAGCAAAAGGCAACAAAGCTCGTTTTAACATGACCATACCTTCTAAACACAAGAGTATTGCCTTTTTACTGTAGGGCATTTCCAGCATAATCCAACCCAGCCCCTAATGCATTCAGTGCAGTCTTTTCAATTCGGTCTATTAACAGTCCAGGGACATTCTCTCATTTCAGCGCCATCCATGGGATTCTGTATTGTGTGATGGTTTCAAAACCAAATCAGTAGGATTTTGCTTGTGTAAAAAAAAATGCTAAAAAGGATTCTCACAGCTCCACAGCACACTGAGGTCCAGTTCAGACAAGCAGAGACAAGTATCAGGTCAGCTGGAGAGGGAGGAAGATTGGCAGATCCTTTGGGAGGTGGGGTTTGCCACTGATTAATGTGGATTTAATGTGTTCAACCTGCAACTGAGCAGGTGGGAACCTCCAGCATTGGGACCAGTTGAACCCAGAAGGAAAGCAGCATGGAAAAGGTGATGGCAGCAGAAACACTAACTCTTTTTTATCACAGAGCAAGGAATGTTGACTGTTTGTCTTCTGAATTGTTCTCAGTTATATTGATTGCATTTAATTCTCTTCCCCCCCCAAAAAAAATGTTGCCCTTATAATTTCTGTGATTTTGTTCTGCTTTATTTATTGATTTCACCCTGACCATTTCCCCCCCATGCTCGGGTCCTGACCCAACTGTCCAGCGCCTTGGGATGTCCTCCTGACTTGAAAGGCGCTCTATAAATGGAATCTTGTTGTTGTTGTGATCGAATGATTTGATGCTGGGCTTCTGATGGATGCTGTGTGGATGGATGGATGAATGAATTGCATGAACGATGCACAGACTGGGACGGTTGCGTTCGGTTCATTTTGAATCGCTGTTGTTTGCGCATTTTTTTAATCAAGTTTCACAAGTAGAGTTTAGTTTTTAATCTACTCTCTCCCCCCCACCACACACACACACCCTCAAACAGAAGACACCCCATTCATAAGCTACTGCCCATCTCTTGTTATTCCCCCCCCCACCTCTAGCCCCCAAAGAAAGGCATGGAATTTCCCAGAAGCTGAGCCTCCCCGTGTTGTCTCCTGTGTTGCAGGGCCATGGATATGATGTTGAACTCTTCACGAGTGTCCCAGACCCTGTGTTTATCTGCCCGATCTGCCAGGGTGTCCTGAACAATCCCGTGGAGCTGAACTGCCAGCACTTCTTCTGCTATGCCTGCATTGTGAAGTGGTTCAAGCGGTAAGCACCGGGGCGCTGGGCTGTGAGTCGCTGTGGGTGTGTGTTAGTGTGCTAGTTAGTTAGTTGGTGAGTGTGCTAGTTAGTTGGTTTGTGAGAGAGTTAGTTAGTGAGAGTGTTAGTTAATGTTGAATTGAAAGTCACTGATGAGCGAATGGAAACTGGAATTCCAGTTGGGATTGAATTCATTTGGTGTTCTATTTCCCTTCTAGACATTTTTCTTTTGCATTTCTCTCTCTCTCTCTTGCCATTCTCTTCCCGCTCCACCATTTTGGGGTGGTGTTGAAAATATCCAACTTTGCTTGAAATGCCTAATTGGAAACTATTTTGTAATGTTGCATTTAGCTTGTGGGCAATGAGCCGGGGGTGTGGAGGTGAGAGCATGTGAGAGAGCCTGTCCCTCTCTGGCAGTTTTGCAGTGCAGAAGAATAACCCTTGCGTTTGATATCGTGCCTTATCACGTCTCGAGATGTCTCAAAGCGCTTCACAGAATATACTGTAAAGTGTAGTGACTGTATTTGTAGGCGAAGGCCCATTTGCCTAATTCCTCTGCTGGAGATGAGATCTTTCACTGGTGCTAAACACTCTAATCTCAATTGCCTGCTCTTCTTGTACATTGTTCTGCCTGAAATATTTATCCCCAAATCCCTTTTGAATGCTTCTGTGGATCTTTGCTTCAATGGCCACATGTAGACAGCTTGTTGCACCTCCTCTGTGTGTGTGATGTGATGGGGGATGTAGTTTCATGGTACTGTGCGGTGCTCTGTCTGATGGGCACCGTGTGTAACTCGCTCTGCCCGCAGGTCCTCCCTCTGCTCCTCTCCTCCTCTGAAAACCACCTAAGTCACTCTATGCTGACTATCCAATATAGCGCTGGGGAGTGCTGCGATATCAGATGAGAGATTTAAGCCTGTTCGCAGTCCCTCTGCTTCGCATCCCCCCCGCCCCCCTCACCTTCTTCAAGACCCATCTCAAGACCCTACTTTTCGACTGTGCCTTCGGTCACCCTCCTACCCCTACCCTCCCCGCACTCCACCCCTTCATGATCCCAATTTCCAGCTTGGGTGTGGATCCCTAGCTGTCTGGTGCCTTGGGAAGTCCTCCTGATGGGGAAAGGTGCTATATAAATGTAAATTGTTGTTGTTAAAGATGCTGTGGCACTGTTTGGGAAGTTGAGGGAGTTACTCCTGGTGTCCTGCCCAGCAATTCCTCAGATAAAGTAGCTCAATGCCTTTGTGGCTGATTGTGGGATGTCGCCATGAGCAAACTGGCTGCCGCGTTCACTAATAAAAATTTAAAAAATCACTCTTCCACACTTGACGGTCCAATCCTGTGCAGCACTTCGAGACGTTTCAACAATGTGATAAGACGCTCTACGAAATGTAAAAATTATTTCATTCTCTTCTGACTTGAATGGGTTAATTGCGATATGGGAAACCCATTTTTTCAATAAAAGACTTGCGTTGCTGCTTGATTGGGTGAGGTGAAGGTGCAAAGATCTCGGAGTGAGGAAGAGTATATGAATTGACGTGCACTCCTCACTATGCAATTGATTTTCTTTAGGAAGTGTGAGTGTCCATACTGCCGGAAACGTACAAAAGCAATGGCTCGGTCTGTGGTGCCAATAATCCAGAACATGATCGGTCGACTGATGATGAAGGTAAATCCAGTGCTATAGTTATAAACGTGTGTGTTTATAAGTGCATCATTTTAAACGGGGTTGGGGGTGGGGGGGGGGGGGCTGGAATTTGTCTATTTTCTGCTAGAAAATTGTCAACGGCACGACTTGAGCAAGAGACTGCCAGGCTGGTGGAAGGTGAACTGCTTGGACCTCGGTCTTCTTCCGTCTGGCAAATTCTTCTGTTCTTTCTGTCCCGCGCGCACAGTGTGGGAACACAATCCATGGCTGCCCGGCTACTTTTCCACTGGAGCAGTACGCGACCCACAGGAAGGTGTGTGAGTTTAGGTTGGCGAAGTGCGAGTGTGAAGGATGTCCTGCCATAATGCCCCACAAGGACCTGCCGGCTCACAGGCAGGTGTGCGAGTTCTGGAAGCAGCCGTGCAGGATGGGGTGCGGAGCCCAGCTGACCTGGCTTCAGCTGGAGAAGCACAACTGCTACCGGGACATGAAGGCAAAGTACGATGGGGCCATTGCCTACCTCGAATTTTGCTTCAACCGCATGAGCACGATCCTGAAGCACAAAGAGGAATGCTTTTGTCAGGTCGTGTCCATCACCGATGACTATGCAGGTGAGTTGATCACTATTCCCTCTGCGCTTCAGATTGCTGAGATTTCTTTCATCTTATTACGTCTCGAAGACGTGGTGAGGCGCTACATCAAATATTATTATTATTTTTATTATTTCAGAATAGCAGCTAGACCATGGTTTCCTTTTTCCCTCGCTCGTCATCCATCCCCATCATTGGGAAGCACTCAGATACCTTATCCTGTGTGAAGGTCGATAAATAGATGGTGGGGATAGTCCTTGCAGTTGATGCAGCGCTTTATCACGTCTTCGAGACGCCTCAAAGAGCTTCACAGAATATAACAGTAAAGTGTAGTGACTGTATAATTCTGTGAATAAAACAACAATATAAATAAAAAAATGTATAAATATTTTTAAAAATGTTTTTTGATCAGATGAATCGTCAGAAGCGAATGAAGATGAAGAAAATGATGAAGTGGCACCTAACAGTATTAACGAGAACGCGTCTTCAGTCAGTTCGAGATCCAGCAGCGGGTCAAACACAGAACACGATGTCACTCCCAGCAGACCGGAGATCAGGCAGCGGAACAGACACGCGTGTTATGAAGCAGTGGATGGAGCAGGGAACAATGGGGGAGATGAGGCCAGCCCTTCAATCAGCCCCAACACCAGGGCACAAGCTGTTTCCCACAGGCACCGGATCAGACCGCGAGGCCTGCGGATCTTTAGGTGTGCTGTGTTGGCTGTTTGTGTGTTGATTAAAGCCTTAGGGAGACAGACAGTAGAAGCCGAACGTGTTGTGTGTTTCAAGAACAAATTAGATAGATTTCTGTTAGAAAATAATAGTGCCCAGACACCACTAACTACTAAATAATCCTTGCATCTGATATAGATGCCTTTTGGGAAGTCTGGAAGATGTGATAAGGTGGTATATCAAATGGAGGGATTATCATTCTTATTATACAGCGCCTTGTCTTTGATATATCTCGCTTGCAGAATATACTGTCAAGTGGATTCACTGTATTTTGTGGGCGAAATGCAGCAGCCAATTACAAACCGTGGTGGATTGAGTGACCAAATTGATTTTTTTTCTAATTTTTTTGAACAAATTAATATCTTGGGATACAATATATAGATTGGGACATAACTTGTCAAGCGACTGCCGGGCATGGTGGAAGGTGAACTAGATGGACCTTGATCTTCTTTTACTCAGAAAATTCTTATGTTATGTTCTTAAAACAGTGAAGTGGTTCACCAGAACACACAGACGGAAAGAACATAAGACTTTGCTCTTAAAATCAAATGGGTCAGAATACCGACAATCTATTGGGTGGGCACAGTTTGAACATTGCTGGTGGGACTGTGAAACTAATGATTTATCAGTGAATTGGGTTACACATTTACCTTGATTTATAACCTATTACTGAGTCATTCAGGACTTGAAAGTCACCGATTGGAATCCAGGCTAGACCTTGTGCGTTAGCTGATCCTGCAGTCGTGGTGCCAAATGACCTTTGTGCTCCTGGGCTTGCCTCTGTGTTGGTGGTGGCTGGGTGGGGGAAAGAGGAATCTTCAGCCATTTACCAAGCTGACTTCTCATTCCACTAACGTCAATTACATTTGTTCTATTGGTTTTTGAGGTCTTGTAACTTGGGTATCTACCCTTAACAATGGCACGGAGACTGCCTATCATTGGATGAATAAGGGTCACTTTTTCCCCCACGGTTATGTTTTATGCTTTACGTCTTTCTTGTTGCCTCCTAATTCAACCTGGAAGGTGGACAACAACAAATTACGTACATGTGTAAAGTGCCTTTCGTATCAGGACGACATCCCAAGGCGCTGGATAGTCAGGGATTTGGTCCTGGGTTGGGATCAGGAGGGGTGGGGTGCAGGGACGCAGGATTGGAGGGTGATCGAAGATGGGATAGAAGAGGATGGCCTAGTCTAGCCTCCTGGAGGTGGAACTATGGCTTTGGTTGCAGCAGGATGATAGCTCTTGACATTCTTGTTAAAATTGATCTGATTGATTTTTTTTTTCTCCCCCCCCCCCCCCCCCACCCCACTCTGTTGGTTTCAGGCAACGCGTAACTTGGAATCCATTTGACCTGCGTTTTGGATCTGTGTACAGAAGAATGCGTGTTCGACCATACTGCCGATAATGTTAATAAACCTTGCATTTGATTATAGTGCTTCATCACATCATTGAGACATCTCAAAAGGCTTCACAAGATATTGACCTACTGCAGACCATCTAAAGGTTACAGCGCACTGCTTCAGGCACCAGCCTATCTATTTATTTTTAAAAAAAGTTTTTCCCCTAACCCCAACCTTACCCCCCAATCTTTCAAAGCTCTGATTGAGCAAACTTGTGTTTGAAGAGCAGTCTACAGTTCAATGTGTTTAGTGATGGAAATTTGACAATTGTATTTTGTATTGAATAAATAAAATAGTTGCATCTGAAATGTTTCTCTTGTTCCAACATTCGTAGAGTGAGTGACCAAATGATCATTTTTTAAAATGTATTTACAAAGGGTTTATTAACCCTGGGAAAGTGATCTCCCAACTGACTTAACAGCTGGGTTCCTACTTAGCTACATAAACAGAGACTGGTGGAGTCAGGGTTAATAAAGTTGATTTTTTTTGTTAACGTATGAAACAAACACAGACACGAAAAGTACATGTTCAGCAGTTCTGCTGAGCCGTGACCCCAAGCAGAAAGAGCACACTTCGAACGGAACTCTGGCTACGAGTTGTATTGCTTTGGCTGCAATGTCCTTTTCGTTACCCTTCATCTATGCAAGGAACCTCAACAAAACATTTTAGGGTAAGAGCTGGGCTTCAGCCCTCGATCTCTCTCACTGTGAATAGGCCATAGCAAAGGGAGGGGGAGAGAGCGCGTCTGTGGGAATGAACAGTATTCGCTTGCTGATTAAAGTGCAGCTGCTTCCAATTGCCAAACCCTGAGGAGGTAAGTGTGGGGGGGGGGGGGGAGGGACGCTATCCTGCGTGAGGGGTGCTGCATCCATGCAAGTTGTTGTTGTTGTCGTCCCACCTTGTCCTCCGGCATTTCATGTTACGCAAGCAATTGGTAAAATAGTCCCTAAGCTTAAAAAGATTACAAACAAAACAAATAAAGGAAGGGTGGGGTTGGGGAGAGAGAATGCATTGCGCAAGATTTTTGCAAATCTGGAACACTTATCATAATATAATAATCCTTGCATTTGATATAGTGCCTTGAGATGTCTCAAAGTGCTGCACAGAATATACCGTACAGTGTAGTGACTGTACATTTTGTGGGTGAAACGCGGCAGCCAATTGCGCACAGCAGTGTCCCGCAAACAGTCGTGGATTGAGTGACCAAGTTATTATTTCTTTCATTTTTCGAAGGGATTTATATATCTGTTTTTGTTTGTGTACTCGCGTCGGTAAATGTTGAGATTGAATGTTTTCAGGTAAATCTTGATTTATTCTCCGAACGCACTGACTGAATTGCGTTATTTTTTCAAAGAGGAACATTTGTTTTCAGGCAGAGACGAGAGAGAGAGAGAGAGATTGACTGACTTCTCATGCTTGTTCAGGACACAGTTCACTGCTCATCACCGACCTCCCTCCCTCCCCCCAGATTAAGCCAGCGCTCTAAACCACTAAACTCCACCACCATTTAGAGGCACTTATGTTTTAATCTTTGTTTTCCAGACAAAACGAGTTTCTTGTTCTGGACTATATTGCTGCTCCCTACCCACCCCAGGCATAATTCCTGCCCGATTTTAACCAGGCAGGAAGTACAGCCACTACTGTGGTGCCCAAGTTTGCGCTGAGTTTGCTAATCCCAATGATTCATTCACATGACGAAGAAGCCATATCCTGCCACCTGCTTCGTGTTTGCATGCTTGGCAACGTCACGCTCATCTGTGCTTACACCAAATAATCCTAATAATAATAATCCTTGCATTTGATATAGCGCTTTTCACGTCGAGAGGACGTCCCAAAGCGCTTCACAGAACACACTGTAAAGTGAATTGACTGTATATTTGTGGGAAACAGCCGGTTAATGTTCTGCACCCAGGGGATTAATGTAAAAACAATTGCTTGGTTGAGAGAGAGTAGAACAACACTACCCCAGCAAGAGTAAGGGAGGGAATTGGGGAAAATTGGAAGATTTAGGAGAGAAAACATATATTGTACACAGGCTCTTTAAAGATGTTTGGATTTGTCATTTTTATCTTTGTGCTGTTTCCAGGACTTCTGCAATACGGGAGGATGCTTGAAATCATGATCAGAAGCAAAGGTAGTGCTTTTTAAACATCTTTGAACTAAAGTGTGAAGCCGAATAACAAACAGTCGTGGATTGAGGGACCAAACTGTTTTTTGACTGATTATTATTCTCCCCGGAAAGCGATTCACTAATCGACTAATAACTGGGTTCCTACTTCTTGCTCGATAAACACGTGGAGGCGTGTGGAGTAAGGAAACTTGCCTAATGTTTGGCCCTGCCCGGGAATCCAACCCTGTTCCTCTCGCTTGTGAGGCCAGCGCTCTAACCACTGAACTACACCACCGTTTAGAGACACTTATGTTTTAATCTTTGTTTTCCAGACAAAACAAGTTTCTTGTTCTGGACCATATTGCTGCTGCTCTTTGTCAAGGTTTTTGGTGACTGTGATCCGAAACATTGTGAAAGTTGTGTACCAGAGTTTCCACTTGGGATGTTTGTGACCTGCACCAACAAGAACCTAACTACGCTCCCCGATTTACCCATCAACGTGTACGAGCTCCGACTCAGTCACAACAAGATTCCTGCACTGAAAGCTGGAATGTTCGCTAAAGTTGACACCAAGAAGATGACGTTCCTTTATTTTGACCACAACTTAATCATTGAAATCCAAACGGACGCCTTTAAAAAGCTCGCCAAACTGCAATACCTGGACTTGTCTTACAACACACAGCTGAGCAGCCTGAACGTTTCAACCTTTTCCTGGCTGTTAGGTCTGCAGCACCTGAACCTTGAAGTCACGGGTTTAGTCCGTGTAGATCCAGGTGTTTTCCTGAAGCTCTCCGCACTGGAATGGTTACAGCTCTCTGGGAATCGACTCAAACATTTATCATCCAAGCTGTTTGGGGACGTAAGCAACCTCCAGAATTTGAACCTTTCGGCAAATGGTCTGCAGACAATTGAGACCGACCTACTCCACGATCTGAACCATTTGGTGAATTTAAGTCTAGCGGACAATTCTATTGCCACCATCCAGAATTACGCCTTCCAGAATTTGCCACTACTCAAACTTCTGGAATTAAACAACAACAGTTTGATTCAGATGGACATCAGACTGCTGAATCCACTGGTACATCTGACTTTCCTGAGGTTGGAAGGGAATCCTTGGGACTGCACATGTACAGCGGCCGACCTGTATAGTTGGCTCCAGGGTTTTGCCGGGAACGTGTCCGGGCCGCTTTGTTCTATTCCGGATTTTCTCGTTGACCAGGGTGCACTGGGAGACATCGCTTCCAAGTGTTATGACCGTTGCCCCAAGTTTCCTCCTGGGAAGACGTGCTTTTTGCCTCCTCCAACTGGTCTGACTCCAGTCGACATAAACAACCTCATCCTGGACTTCAGACACATGGTTCAGGCATGCATAGGGATCGGTGCCATTTCCCTTATAGTTGTGTGTGTGTTGCTGGCACATAGTGTATTCACTCGAGTTTGGAATCCAAGAAGCCTTTTAAGCGGAGAACACGATTTTGAGTGAATGCAGTAACTCTCTACCACAGTTCCAGGGTTACATGATACAATTCACATCATGGCTCTCATCAGAGCTCAATTTGACTTTATTAACAGGGTCTATTCAGATGAGATGTCTAACCCAGTTTCCATCTGACTCTCCTGGTAGTGTCACCCACAAAATACTCTATATTTTACTTTTATTATTATTTACAGTATATTCTGTGAAGTGTTTTGAGATAACCTGATAAGATGCTATATCAAATGCAAGGAATATTGTTAGTTTCAGGCGGGGGGGGGTTCTTTGATAAATATTCCTCCCTCATATAAATCCATCAAAAAATATATTTTTATTTTAAAAAATTCTGCCTATGAACCTTCATATTGCAATTGATGTGTATAGAAGTTTTGTAATCAATTGAGGAATGTGTGAAAACATTTAAAATGAATGTTCACTGGTCCTTTTTGAATTTGTATTCTGTGATTTCTTTTGCGGTGGCTTGGAATCAGAAAAAATGTTAAGGCAGATGGTGTTTTATAAAGTCAATGAGAAAAGTACATCATCTGCAAGATAGGGCCAGACAGAGCAGAGCGCCAAATGCCAGTGGGAAGGAAGTACACTTCATAGTTGCTGAACACATCACACAATGAAACAGGAAACGCACGTTTGTTAAAACAAATCTTAATTCTTTTGAGTCCAATAACAAAAGCAATTTTAACAATAAATAATATTTATGAATAGTTGATTGTAACTTAAGAGTTCAAAATAAGTGACATGTTCAGTGAACTAGCCGCCATCAACATGACATTAGCAACACACTACTTTTGCTTTGAATGCCTTTATATTGTCAATTCTTCACCTGCTCCTGTTACCCAATCTCTTGTGGTTATTTTGGAAGCGGTTCCTACCTGTAACAGAATAAAAAAATTCACACTAAGTCAGTGAACGGAAACATACAAAGGTCGACAGACCTTAACAGTCCTAATTGCGCTCATGATTTTACCTTCACATTGCAAAGCGCGTTTGTCGGCATGTGGTTTCATTACCCACACAAAGTGGATCACGAGCTAAACATGTCATTTCATCTCGGCACACTTATCATGCACAAGGCAACAGACCAGGCCAATGGCAATTTCCATAGTGTGCCTCAGCGCCAACCAAAGTATAGAGATTGGGACACGACATGCGCCAGCGACTGCCTGGATGGTGGAAGGCGAGTTGGATGGGTCTTGGTCTTCATTCGTCTGGCAACTCCCAAGTTCTTATAACTCTACATGCAGACAGTAATTCACGGCATCAGTATTATCCCAATTAAAACCTGATTATAAAACAGACAGGGTTTATAATAGATTGTACTGTAATGGCTCATTGGTGCAAGGTATCCAATACAATCCACAACAACAAGATTACATTGGTGTAGCGCCTTTCACGCCGGGAGGTCCTAAACCACGGGAGTTTTTAAAATCAATGCAGGATCTTTTTTTTTTGTAGTTTTCTTTTTAAAAAAAGAGCGTTCCTTCCTGATCAGGGTCCGTGTCACTGGTATCGATCCGGTCGGTTACTTTCCACAGCATCGATTATGTTTTTTTTAAAAGAAAAAACGTATAAAAGCGGATCAATTTTTCATTTTTTGGGGGAAAAAAAAGCAACACGAGTTTAGTCATGTTCCCCAATAATAATAATAATGATAATAACAACAACACAGCTGAAAGGCACCTCGCACATTACCTGCTTAGTCAGAGACGCGCCGTGACAGAGGAGCTCTGCCCTTCGCTGCACTTCTTTGCAATCGAAATGCACATTTTATAATCCAAACGCATTTCACACGAAACCGAACGAGTTTTGTGGCTGAGATGAGATCCGCAATCCGGGGCCGTCAAACCTTCCTTCCTCCCCCCCCCACACACCTACACACACACCCACACACACACCCACACACAGAGGCAATGCCCCAAATAATAATAATAAAAAACAAATAAAACACAAGATTTTCAAACCAAAAAAAAGCTCTTTTTTTTTAAAAAAGAGACTTTGAAGTGAGTTTTTTTTATAAAAAAAACAGAAACTGCCACAGAGCCGATCTCCGCGCCACCGCCACGTGCGCGTCCGGCGGGGGGTTGGGGGGGAGTGTAGCGCGAGGCCCCGGGGGTTGGGGGGGAGTGTAGCGCGAGGCCCCGGGGGTTGGGGGGGGAGTGTAACACGAGGCCCCGGGGGTTGGGGGGGGGGGGGAGTGTAGCGCGAGGCCCCGGGGGTTGGGGGGGGGGTTTGGGGGGGAGTGTAGCGCGAGGCCCGGGGGTTGGGGGGGGGGGGTTTGGGGGGGAGTGTAACGCGAGGCCGTGAGCAAAAAGAGGCGCCAACAACCTGTGGCGAGCGCGAGAGTGAGGGGACGATTTGCCGACCGCGCGCGCGGGCGGAGGTCCCGCCCCGGAACTGCATCACCGGCACAGGGCGGGCGCTTCCTCTCGCGAGATCCGGGAGGCTTTATAGGGCCCCGCGCGGGGGCCGCCGGCCTTCTTCTCGCTCAAAAAAAAATCACGTAAGTCGTCAATGGCGGCCATGAGGGGACCGAGGGTTTTAATGCAGCGGCAATCGGCCGTCCATCTTAGCCATCCGGCCCCGGGGCGGCCGGCCCTGGCCCTCGTCACGCGCTCTCGTGATCAGCCGTCCGTTTGATGGCGATATTTGCGCGCGGGGGGTTTTTACGGCGAAACATCGGGGCTCGGGCTGCCGCGCGGGGGTTAGGCCGCGGGTCTGACGTCACCCCCCCCTCCCCCCCCCGCCTCTCAGTGTTCTGTCGGGGTATCATTCGAGGGTTTATTTGCCTCTGTGAGTGTGAGTGTCTCTTATAAGTGTGTGTGTGTGTGTGAGTCTCTGTGAGTGTGTGTGTGTGTCCCTGTGAGTGAGTGTGACCCAACTGTGCAGCGCCTTGGGACGTCCTCCTGACGTGAAAGGCGCTTTATAAATGGAATGTTGTTGTTGTGAGAGTCTCTGTGAGTGTGTGACCCTGTGAGTGTGTGTGTGTCTCTGTGTGAGTCTCTGTGAGTGTGTGTCCCTGTGAGTGAGTGTGGGTCTCTATGAGTGTATGTGAGAGTCTGAGTGTGTGTCCCTGTGAGTGTGTGTGTGTGTATGTGAGAGTCTCTGTGAGTGTGTGTGTGTCTCTATGAGTGCGTGTGTGTATGTGAGAATCTCTGTGAGTGTGTGTCCCTGTGAGTGTGTGTGTCTCTATGAGTGTGTGTGTATGTGAGAGTCTCTGTGAGTGTGTGACCCTGTGAGTGTGACTCTGAGTGTGTGTGTGAGAGAGTCTCCCTGAGTGTGTGTGGAGGTTTCTTGTAATGAAGAGCGCAAGATCTGCACTTTATACAAATACAATTAATAATCCTTAACCTTTTGATAAATCGCCTTATATATTTGCCCGTCGAGTCGCCTCCCAGCACTTCGCCATCAAGTGTAGTGACTATTATTTGTAGGCGATAAAGTATCGCTCACAAACCACACAGTCAATCTACTTTGCAGCGTATCCTGTGAAACTCTTTGAGGCGTCTCAATGACGCGATGAGATGCTACATCAAATGCAAGGATTTTTATTAATGATGGGAAGAGGCTGGTACCTACCGAACGAGTAGCCTTTGTTTCACCAGTTGCCGTTTTGTCGGCTTGCTTCCTCCTCCACAGCGAAGTGCACAAGCTCCCTGTGGGTGGGGGTGTAGGATGGTGATGTGTGAGAGTTGTGGAAGCGATCGCTCCTCTAAGTGGATTGCCGCCTGTTCCTTTTTCAGCAAATGGCGGACGACGCCGGTGGTAGAGGAGGCTTCCGTGGCGGCTTCGGCACCCGTGGGCGCGGGCGGGGCCGCGGAAGGGGTCGTGGCAGAGGCCGTGGTGCTCGCGGCAAGGCTGAGGACAAGGAGGTAAGAGAGCAGCAAATCTGCGCTTATGAGAAGATAGTGGTCCTAAACCGTAGGCTGCTGCTTACTCGTTTACGAGTAAATGGTGCGTCAAGCCTTGAGTCATGATACTACCATCCTAACACTTGAGTCATCCCACTCAGCTCCTGTTAACCCTGCAAGACCTAACAGGTAGGGTGGTCCTAGCTGGACAAACAGCAGGAAAGCTTGCCAGGCAGCAATGTCAATGGCAAGCTATGCGGTTTTACCTGGTTAGACTCCAGCAGTTACCCTAACACATATTCTGGGCTTCCTCCAAGCCTTGGGTCTTGCCAACGTGTGCCTAGTACTTTCTACAATTAGGTAAGCAGGATGTGTCCCAAGAGAGAGAAAGTGCGCATTCCATTCCAACAATCTATCTCTGGGATTTCTATGGGTGTGTGGAGTGCATGGAAATCTCAGCTTGGTTGGATACTTTAAAGCATGGTGATGGGTTTACTCATTTGTCAGACACCAGGCTAGCCAAAAGAAATAACATTTGTGTTTCTTCCTGTCAGTGGGTGCCAGTCACTAAGCTTGGGCGCCTGGTCAAGGACATGAAGATCAAGACCCTGGAGGAAATCTATCTTTTCTCTCTCCCCATCAAGGTAACATTTTGACTTTTTTTTGGCTTTTATTTGGTGAATGTTACCATTTGTGTTCATTAACAGTAGGAATAAGGCATTACTCTCCTGTTCAGTCATTTTTTTCTCTCTCTGGTGTTTAGGAGTTTGAGATCATTGATTTCTTCCTGGGATCTTCTCTGAAGGATGAAGTTCTTAAGATTATGCCTGTGCAGAAACAAACCCGTGCTGGTCAGCGCACAAGATTCAAGGTGGGTTTTTAGTTGCAATTGCAAACTATTCTACATATTTGAACCTGCTTTAATACTTATTCGTACTTTCAGCGCCTTGGGACGTCCTCCTGACGTGAAAGGCGCTTTATAAATGGAATCTTGTTGTTTGGATTTAAAATGCTCTCTGCTCTTAGGCTTTTGTTGCCATCGGAGACTATAATGGGCACGTTGGGCTGGGTGTCAAGTGCTCCAAGGAAGTAGCTACTGCAATCCGTGGAGCCATCATTCTGGCCAAACTGTCCATTGTTCCTGTACGGAGAGGCTACTGGGGTAACAAGATTGGCAAACCCCACACTGTACCATGCAAGGTAAGCACAAATACTAGCACACATTATGTACAGCAAATCTTTGTAGGGTTGGGATGGTGTTGCAATATGGAGGTTCACTTAAGAGATCAGTGTATATAGAGTGGTTCATCCAGGTTCTGCAATTTTGTACAGAAATGCAAACTTATCCAAAATCTGAAAAGATTAAAGCCTTCCCCCTACATTGTGAATCAAAGAGAGACAGTGGGAATGGGTTGCCAGTGTACTTTATGATCGTTGAGTATACTTTCCCAAACTGTCTGTTCCGTGTGAGGTTGTCCACTCAAATGTTGAATGCTGTGCAAGTGACTTGTATTGTCTTGAAACAAGTTTGCTGTTTAATTAAAACATCTCCATTAGTTTCTCATGAGGTGAACGTTTTCTTCACAGGTGACAGGTCGTTGTGGCTCAGTCCTGGTCCGTCTGATCCCTGCACCCCGTGGTACCGGCATTGTCTCAGCTCCTGTCCCTAAGAAGCTGCTTCAGATGGCTGGTATTGATGACTGTTATACCTCAGCCAGGGGTTGCACAGCCACGCTGGGAAACTTTGGTAAGTCCAAACATTAACTTCATTCGTGTTAAAATGGCGCTCAAAAAGCGGAGGGGGCAGCCATTTCATGTTGCTAATTGACCCATTGGCTTTGCATTGTTCATTCTCATTTAAAATGGAAATTGGGAGAGAAATTAATTTGTTGATCACATTTTGCTTGTATTGTGGTAGCACTTGTCCTTAAGATTTTCTTGGGACTAGGTCTTGCACATGTTGGCACTATGAAGATGACGTAGTGTTGGTTGTCATTGCAATGATGTCTTATTTTATGCAATTGAATGAATGACTTGTGGATCATTGTTTAAGTACACTTAAACGCTATTGTAAAGGTATTTGCAGATTGCTTGTAGATTCTCTTCAGCTCTGCGCAATTTTGCCTACTTTTAAGTGGTGACAATTGCCGTATTACGAGAGAGAAATAAACTTGAGTGTATGCAGGGCAGCTAGATCTTTCTAAATGGTTTATCTGCTCCTCATGAAGCTCAACATGAAATTGAACATTCTGTTGTCAATGCTGCCCACGTTGGATGATTGGTAAAACATCTCACATTGTTCCTTGCCCACAGCTAAGGCCACCTTTGATGCCATCTCCAAGACGTACAGTTATTTGACTCCTGATCTCTGGAAGGAGACTGTGTTCTCCAAGTCACCGTACCAGGTAAATTAATTTAAATGTCCTGCCATGCTTAAGTTTACACATCTTTCTTTCAGTAAACATTTTTAGTAATAATACTTGCATTTGATACAGCGCCTTATCACGTCGTTGAGACGTCTCGGAGCACTTCACAGAATATAATGTAAAGTGAATTGACTGTATATATTTTGTGGGCGAATGCATTCGATTTCTACTTGACACAAATTTTACATTTTACAAATGACAAGTTAGATTTTCATAGATTTGTTAAATCAGCCTTTTTTCGTTGTTAAAGTAGCTTTGAATTGTGTAATTGGTAAGAACTATCTCCCTTGCAATGTGTAGAAAATAAAAAAACTAGTCGTCTGTCCAGCAGGTTGCTAGTTGTATGATGTCCCAGTTGCTAAGTTTTCACTTTTTTGTGTTTTAGGAATTCACCGATCATCTGGCCAAGACTCACACCCGCGTCTCTGTTCAAAGAACTCAACAAGGTGCTGCGGCTCCAGCAACATAAAACAGTTTTTTTGTATGAGAGAATAAAATCTGGACTCAAATAAACTGGAGTTGTCATTGTTTATTTGGGGCTTGTGCGAGATACTGCTCGTGTGTGAAAGGAGGACATGGTCACTGACTTGTTAATGTTTGCTAAGTGAGCTGAATCGCATGCACTATAAAATCATCAAACTCAAATGTTTAATTCAGAAATAATTCTCTCCTTAATAGATGTAAATTTAGGATTATTAGATGCTTGGAAGCGTGTGAGGCATCTTTTTGATGGATTTGAAGGGCTATGTTGAATGCAGTACAAGCGGCTATTGAAACTTGGGCAGTTCAAAAATAAAGCCAGAGTAAGGAACAAGATATCAAATCTTTAAGATATGTTTCAGCATAGCATGCTTCATTTATTAGAGGAAGTTTTAAATGTGATTAAACCTATGTAAGTCATACACAATGTCTTTTTTAAATATAGATTTTTAGAGCCGCTTCAACACAGCATTGTTCTATGCTTCAGCTGCTATCTTTTGCTGTTTTCTCTCTTCAATCATCCGTTGCTTCTGTTTCATCAGGCATCTTCTAGCACTGCCATAAGCACCCAGATCCCCGTCTATATAAAACAATTTAAGCAGATTTTAGACAAGTTTTCCATTTGTAATGCCAAAAGGTGTCCACGTGAAAGCCATGTTTCCCAGTCCTCAATCACAAAAATGTCTTAGCAGAATACATTTGGCCACAACAAGTTGGGACTTGGATGCATTTTAATGATTCATTAACTAATGTAGTTATTAATTAATGTAGGGCCAAAGGAATAAAACTTAATTTATTGAAGAGACTATGTGACAATAATATTCTCCCGAAACAATCGGGTATCAATCACAGCAGTAGGTAGGTGAATACAATGCAGAACATTGTGACGTTAGATTAGGGGCAAACGATAGGTTTGGGTAAATAAAACGTTTTTTTTAATAAAATGATCAATGTCAATCTAACATAGATCATGGGAATAATAAATTGCATTTATATAGCACCTTTCATGTTAGGAGGCTGGAGTGTATAGCAGGGTACCAATAGTACTCAGTATTTACTTTTGCCCACAAAATATACAATCAATCTACAGTATATTACATGAAGTTCTATTGAGACATCTGGAAGACGTGATAAGACACTGTACCAAATGCAAGGATTATTTATTATTTACAGGATGCAGGTCTGGACGGCTGGTTGCTCAAACCTATCTGACAGGACACTTACATCTTGATTGGTATCCTCTCGCGGCCTGCTTGAATTGCTCCAGCTCTTTATTACAGTTCTGGAGGTGGCTTTCACCCTCTCTTTGCTGACAGGCCCCCAACCGTTCCTGAAGTACCTTCACAATCTCTTGATCCACCTTGCTGGAGAAAAAATCAAGTTCATTTCAACAAATTTTAAAAAAAGACCCTGCTTGACACAGCCTTTAGATTAAAATAGTACAGATGGTTGTACAGACACTGAAAATGTCTAAATGCCAAACTCAACAACACTTGATTGAATCCCACAAGGGCTCAGCTTCCCGCTTACTGTGGCAACAACAGACAACTCAATGCACATCTACAATAATTTATGAAGCACCTTTCACCTTGAAAGAATATCTCAAAGCATTTAAGAATTTAAGAGAGAGGGCTAGAGATGTTGATCAACTACGGTGGAGAACTGGCTGAAGAATTAAACTACAGTACATCTGAATAAGTGGGGAAGGTTAACAACTTACCATCCAATTGGGTGTTCTAACTTCCTGATCAGGCAGAGCATGTATGTACATTTCAGAAGTGCACAAGAACACAAGTCTTGTTAGTACTGTATTTATGTCTTCTAGATTATTTGTTCCCTGTAAAATGTGTTGTGCTTTGAATTTGGTGTGTTTCGAAAAGTTTTCTTTAATGGCAGGAATGAAATAATTACTGTTAATGTTATTACGCCACAAAACCATTGATTATGGAAATACACATTTTTTCAAAACAAATAAGATACATACTGATCCCTTCTCCACTGCATCTCTGCCTCAAAGTAGCAGACATAATCACCAAAATGGCACTCAGTGAAATCTGGGACTCTTCTGTACTGTCTGTGGTAGTAATAATAGGGATTCTTCGAATGTTGATTCTCTATCCATACTACAAAGAAAAATAGAAAATGATTAGGAATTCTGGAAAACCTATTGTTTAGTTTGCGAACAAAATGCACAGTTACTACACCTTTTACTGTCAACCAATCCTGTGAAGCGCTTTGAGACCTTCCTGATCGTTAGCTAAGACAATGCACTGGAGAAACTCCATTCTCTTTTCAAATACAGTGGAATCCAGTTAATTTCATACAGGATATTTGCAGACTTCATTTAATACATAGCAACCTTTAGATACTGAAAATTTGCTGTTTGTTTACAATGTGTTGTACTCCACTCAAATGCAAATGATAATTACACATTTCACTTAATTGCACAAGAGTTGCTTACATTCGCAGCTCTATAACTAGTTCAGATAACTGCACTGGTTGAGGAGTTGACCACGTATACTATTGTTTATTGTAATATAGTTATGAACTAACGTCAGTAGAACTTTGGATCACTCTGTATAACTGCATGTCATTAGTCCGGTATCAGATCTGCATCGTGCTTTACTAAAATATAATCTCGCTGCAATGCTGAGGGTTTCTTTTATATATTTATATAATAATAAAAATCCTTGTAGTTGATATACCTTATCACATCGTTGAGACGTCTCAAGGTGCTTCACATTACATAATAATATACAGAAAAAACTGTAAAGTGGATTTATATGTACGGCATATTATAATATATATCAATTATAATTTATATTTACAATGTTTATATTGATATATGTAGTAGTTACAATTATATGAAATCTATAATATAGATATAATCTGTAACATATTATAATTTATATTTACAATGTGTATAGTGATATATACAGTAAAGTTGCAATTATATAAAATCTATAACAAATAGGTACTACATCTACAATACAAACATATAGATCTTATATAACTGTAACTTTACTAAACACATATACCAATACAAACACTGTAGAACTAAACGACCCTATATATCGGAGATGGTTTGTATACCCCCTATACGTTTGCATATCTGATCTAAATCAAAGGGGATATATAAAAATAGGTAAAATCTCCCCCAAAAAAATGATATACGTTGTACATCCAAGTGCGCGCGCGTGTGTGTGTGTGTGTGTATATATATATAAAAAACAATTAAAATGTAGAGTGAGGGGAGGCGAGGGCAGGGCCGGGCCGGTGTGGCGCTGACTGAGGACACGGTCTCCTCTGCTGTCCCCGGGCCCGGGCCTGGGCCTGGGCTGAGCTCCCGCCGCCCCGGGGGGTGTGGGGGTGGGGGAAGCCTCCCTCACCTCTCAGCGCAGTGACCGGCCTGTCCACCGCAAAGCTGAACGCCTTGCCGACCAGGAGCAGCGGGTTGGGGAGGCTGGTCTGCTTCTCCACCGCCGGCGTCCGCTGCTCGGGTCGCGGGTAAACGTCCTTGTCCCACTCGTCGGGCATCGCTCGCTCCTGGTTCGGCGCCGGCGCCGCCGCCGCCACACTCAAGATGGCGGCTTCAACAGGGCCACACTCAAGATGGCGGGCCCCCCCCACAGCAGGGCCACACTCAAGATGGCGGGCCCCCCCCACAGCAGGGCCACACTCAAGATGGCGGGCCCCCCCCAACAGGGCCACACTCGAGATGGCGGGCCCCCTCAATAGCGCCAGGCTCAAGATGGCGGGTACTCAATATGCCACACTCAAGATGGCGGCCCGCGAGGTGGGTGGGGCGGGGGGCCCGCACGCAACATAGTGGCCTCTTTGAGAGTGGGGCTGCCACACTCAAGATGGCGGCCAGCAGTTTGCCACACTCAAGATGGCGACGCTCACGCTAAAACCGCAGAGCTTTACAGCACAGAAGAAGCTCCTGAGGGGGAAGGGAATGAGGTCGCCATCCTTACTGCATGTCCTTGCTCAGCTGGGCGTGAGCCCCACACCGACACCCATCACTGTGCTACTATGATTACCTGGGCCTGTTGCGGGTTTGGTTTGGTTTGGAAGCTCCTATAGAATATGTCCTGTATCTGTACTCCATTAGGTACAAGAGTAAGGAGAGGGCCTTCACTGAGTACTGTTAAGAAATGGCAGGACGAGGCGGGCAAAAAACATCCCGAGAAAGAGTTTGCAGCCATGAAGAAGTATTGCAAGGTCATTCGGGTCATTGTCCACACTCAGGTGAGCGTTGTCTACATCGGCCATTGTCACTACTTCTCTCCCACATTTACGAGAACATACGGAAGCCTAGAATGAGAAAACCCAATAAAAAATGAGTCAGTCATTCCGTGGCTGTTTGCGGGACATCGCTGTCGTGTTTCGCCCACAAAATACAGTCAATCTACTCTACAGTATATCCTGTGAAGCGCTTTGAGATGTGATGAGGCACTGAATTGAGATGAATACGAATGATCATCAATTGACGTTGAGTCTCAAACAGCGGTTGGTAACTTTTTGGTTTTATTTTTTAAAATATAAAATGACAATGTACACCCTTTCTCTGTCAGTCACCACTTTACACATATACCGAATGACGACCGCTCACTCACTCGTACAAAGAAACATTTTCGTTTTTTTAAAAAAAAGATCCGTTATCGCCTGGTTAGGTTTCTGACATTTCTTCCATTTGACACTGTTTCAGGAACGACACGTCATAAATAAGCAGCACAAATTCCCTGTACAAACACACACACGCACACACACACACACAAAGGGGGAGGGAAGATTGGTTCTGATTTCATGTAAAAAAGATGCAAAGTGTTTCTCCCCAAAACTTTAATAAATAGTCATTTAGATATTTATGGTGGAAAAATAGCTCCCCCCCCCCCTCCGGGACACTGAAATAGAATGAGGTGAAGGGCAACATCTAAGCCCAGACTTATCTGCGCTTCATATGCTGGAGGTGAATTGAGCACAAACTCACTGTTTGGCTGAAATGGAACTATTGTTTTATCTGAAGTGGGATATTGAGAGCAAGGTGTGGCTAACATTGGCTAGAACATACTCACACATGGTTTGCCATGCACCACTGTGCAAGAATTTGTAACCACACTTTCTCATTTCCTCATTACAGAACCTGCATGTTGCATTTACCAGCAGGATCGTAAGCATGTGGCTGGTGGGGTCTGTGAGATTGGGTTTGCCCACAAAAATACACAGTCACTAGCCTTCACAGAAACTTTGTGAAGCACTTTGAGATATTCTTGATGTTACAACAACGACTTGCATTTTATATAGCGCCCCTCAGGCAGGGTAGCATCCCAGAGCGCTCACATCAGGTGCAAGGATTTGTTTTACATTTGAATCTTCCAGTTACAGCTTCTAATGAAACTGCAATGTTCGCTTCGGAGGCAGTGACCCACTTCGCTTTTCGAGCACAAACCAGGGTGTGAGTGAGCGACGAAATGTATCTTGGCAGACATCGACATCAAAGGACATTTTTCCCCCCAGATATTGTCATTGTCCCACGGATCAGTTGCTAGAATCTCTCCATAGAGTCAAAGGATGTTTCCCTTGTGGGTCCCATTGGAGACTGACTGGACTGAGCTGGATAGTCCAAGCCAGAGTGCATGATAGGGATATAGATGTCATCCATATTTGGCATCACAAACACTTTCTGTAATTGACAGAGACAATTGCTTTAGTGTTTCAAGAGGACAAGATGTAATTCGGGTGGGGGCGGAACGCTTTTTATCTTGTATAAAATAAAGGCAGATAGGTTTGTGCAGTGTCAGAATCTCGGGGTGTACTGTTGCGGGTTTTAATTATCTTTCGCCTGGGGTCTTTGAAAGTTACTGTCTTGTGTATTCTCTCAATCCCTGTATCACTTACCGTGGCAGTGTGTTCCTCTGCTCAGCCCCAACCCCAGTGCTAACTGAGAATGGGTCTCCCAGATCGTCAGGGCATCGGGCGGGTTTAACGTGAGTAGGAACAGAACAGAGTGAATCATGGGAACCAAAGCCATACAGTGACTGATTCACATGGTAACCAATCGACATGGTGCGAGGATGACTGGTAACCAACTGTGTACGAGGAGCCGCGGAGCTCAGATGACTTCACTCCAGCCTCGGGAATCACTCCGTACCTGGAACTCATGCTGCAGCTTCTTCTCAATCCACTCGGTCACGTGTGTGAAGGTCACCTCCCGCTCGCCCAGCTTCGGCCGCACTTTAAACTCCAGCCGAGGGGGTGTGCGGAAACTGTACCTAATAACACACAAGCTGTCACTGGCTCTGGTGGGTCATAGAATCATAGAATATTACAGAAGGAGGTAATTCAGCCCATTGTGCTTGTGCTGAAGACTAAGGTGGATAGATATTTGTTAGGTCAATGTATTCATGGGATACGGGGCAAGGACGGGTAATTGGACTTGAGGTACAGATCAGCTATGCCATGATCTATAGAATGGCGAAACAGGTTTGAGGGGCTGAATGGTCTTCTCCTGTTCCTATGTTACGTTTAATGTTAACTTCAACACTGCCAAGCAGAACATTCTCACCTAAATCAGGAGGAATCTATCACCTACAAGGTACCCAGTCACTCCACTTTACAGTGAATCCCGCAGAGCGCTTTGAGACTTTGAGATGTCCTCTCGGTGTGAAGGGCATTATATCGAAGGCAAGGATCATGATCATGTTGTAGTTAGGACTCACCATATTCGGTCAGTGGGAGGGGGTGGGATATTGACAGCCAGCATCCCTGCCAGTTCCTGCACCTCCACCGTCAGGAGCAGGGGCGTGTTGGACACCTCTTCGATCTTCTTCTTGATAAACTCATTCTCTGTGGCCTTCTGAAAGTACTTGGATTTGGCAATCTTGTCCACGAATCGGAGAATCTTTCTGCTGGTGCTGCTGCCTCCAGCGTAGCTGTAAGGACACAGGTGTTTCATGTTTCAACAACAACAATACACAGTTTACACAGTGCCTGCATTTCACGTTGGCAGGATATCCCAAGGCGCTGGACTGTCAGGGATTTGGACCCGAGCTGGGGGTTGGGATTGGGGGGTTGGAGGGCAGGGATGGTAGGGGTAGGAGGGTTACCAAAGACGTGGTCGAAGAGGAGGGTCTTGAGACATTCCTAAAATAATATAATAATAATAATAATCCTTGCATTTGATATAGCGCTTTTCACGTCGGGAGGACGTCCCAAAGCGCTTCACAGAACACACTGTAAAGTGAATTGACTGTATATTTGTGGGCGAACGCGGCAGCCAATTGCGCACAGCAATGTCCCACAAACAGTCGTAGATTAAAAATGACAAATTTATTATTGTTTTGTTTTGGAGGGATTATTATTAGGCGTATACATGGATGTAGAGAAAGACATAGAGGTAGATAGAATGTTAGAGATACTCAGAGAGTGAGAGAGAGAGAAAAAGAAAAATAGAGACAGAGAAAGATAGAAAATACAAAGAAGGAGGGACTGAAGCGGAGGGATGGAGTTCCAAATGGGATCAGAGAGGCTGAAGGCTGAGGGATTATGCATATGAAACAATGAGCATTAAACAAGAGGAAAGTATAATTAAACAGGAATCATTTTGACATATTAGAACTAGATTTGCACAAGGGTGGGTTCAGGAATCTGTACTAAAGAGCTCTTTACCCTTCGGCTCCCAGTGGGAGGGCTTTGTCACCCACAGCTCCTAGCACTTCTGTCACTGGTGTCTCATCTTCCTCTGAAGAGCCAGCACTGGAGGACTCCTCATCGCTGTCCGCAAGCACTAATGTTCGAGGACTGGACCTGCGGAGTGTCAAAAGCTTTAGAATCCGAATAGTGACTTTTACTGCCTGTTCATCTGAGTGTCTCGGGAATGCTAAAGTCAATGCCAGCAGATTTTCTTATCACGGCAGTATTGGACTTAAAGTGACTTGAGCAAGCGCTCAGTTGCTTTCAGCTTAAAATGACCTGAATAAAATTAATGAGTGCTGCTTCAGAGAGAGAGAGAGGAAGCGTGCGTGTCAGAGATAGAGAGACTTTAATCCCCAGTAATTCATCCATTTGACTTGTTTTGCCACAAATAAAACTATATTGGGTCTTGCTGGTGATAACCACAATAAACCTGGCCTTCGGATGAGACGTTAAACCGAGGTAGCCATCTGCCTGTTTGGGTGGATGCTACAGATAACTATTATTATCATAATAAGTTTGCGGCTGGGAGGTGGGGGGTGACCCATCTTGCTTTGCTGATTTGTTCCTTGGATATTGCTGCTGGGTCACTGTCTACTGTGGAAAATGCGAGAGCTACATCTCCAGCTTAGGGGCAAAATGTCCATCAGTGAAGATAACTGGAAAGCACTCCATGGCCTGGTGTAAACTGCCCACGCTTAGAGAGAAGAGACGTGTATAGGAACCAGAGGCTGACAGACTGAGTGGTTCTGGGTCAAGGATTACACACAATCTGACGGCAGTCACAAAACTAACCAGTTGTAAGACAATGAACATTATCAGCTGCACAGTAAACATGGGACTCACCATAAAGTAGCAGGGCCACAATCTTAAAGACGATTATTTATAGACTGAAAAGTTTTGCTTCAGGGTCTAATCTAACCTGGCTTCGAGATGTTTCTTTATCAATGTGAAAGGCATTATATAAATATAATTGTTGTTTGGTGCCAAAAATAGGCCAGAACAGAGATACTTAGAGACACAGACAATTTCCTACAGAAATTTCACTTGGGTCAAGTTAGTTCGGAACTGCCAGAAAAGGGCAAATTCTCAACGCAGCCTGAATTTTGCAGCTGATTTTATGTCGGTTTCTTTTAAGATTTCAACAGTTGAGACTGATGGGAGTAAAACTCTGAAGAAATACCAAATCCACTTACCCTTCTCTTCCTGTATCCACTGGCCTCACCCCCTCTGGCAGTGACTCCTTGCCCAGTTTGCAAAGGTTCATTTTGGTTTCCAGTGTCATCTGCAAGGCCCCATTGTAGGCAATTTCCAAATCCATCCACAGCCCTATGATGGGATGGACGGGACCAAAAAGAGACATGTCAGAACTTCGAAACATTCCCCACCTGGTCTCAAATGTTCTGGGACGCTGCCCTGCTTGTTGGGTGTTATAGGAAGGCAAGTTCTTGTTGTGCATTACAGGCTGGGTTGTGAGAACATTCAATACCACTAGCCTGCGACTACAGGATGGTAGAAGACAAACTAGATGGACCTTGTTGTTTTTTGTCTAGCAATTCCTATGTTCCTATCTGCCTTACAAGACCCAGACCACAGCCAGAGTGAAGAGTGTGAATGCGAATACTAGAATGTGAGTTCATCTCTAAGTTTCAGGTTTGAGTTTCAGGTTCACCCATTCGGAAATCTGGACAGACTTGTTTCTACAGGCATCTCCCACTCTCTCTCAACACTGTCCCTCCCTCAATCTTCTTTCTTTCAAACCAACATTTCCACAGGAATCAAATGGACTGACTGTGCGCTGAGGGGAGGCTTGAGGAATTATTTCCAGCATCTGAACCACAGATGGAAGATGACATGATTGAGCTGCGGCTGCTGATTAAACCCTTGCTTAATCCAGATAAACACAACCAGGCACATATGTGGGTCGGTGGCTAAAAGCCAGGCCATTTTCATCACTATTTTTATACATGGGACGAGGCAAAAGATCGTTTTGATGGATGGATGGGAATAATTTGCTGACTATTTCCAAAGGTTGCGGATTTCAGTGTAACCTCTTTGCTAAGGGATTCATAATCACTGGATTACGCAGTCAAAAATTCCCCAAACATCCACTGAGTGCAAAGAATTTATGGAAAATGCATTAAAATATCAGAAAGAAGAATAAATCAAATGGAGCCAAGGTGGAGTGTGTGGCAGTACAGCCACAAGCTATAGAGGCTTTGGGAGGAGTTGGTAAAGATCCCACAACACTTCAAAAAGAGAAAAGAGTTTGTTTCTCTCTCTCCTGGTGTCCTGGCCCACAATACCCCCAAATAAAATTGGTCACTCGCTCCTTGCCTCTTTGTGGGACACTGCTGTTCGCAAAACTAGCTGCCGCGTTTCACCCACAGAATACACAAGTCAATCCACTTTACAGTATATCCCATGAAGCGCTTTGAGACATCTCGATGACCTGATAAGGCGCGAAAGCAAATGCAAAGATTATAACCTTCTGGAAGAAGTTCTTCTGAACTATTATTCCCCCAAAAGAGCAAAACAACAACACCACCAACAAGATTACATTTGTATAGCGCCTTTCACGTCGAGAGGACGTGCCAAGGCGCTGGACAGTGACAGCATTTCAGACCTGAGCTGTGGTCAGCGGGGAGAGGGGAGGGGAAGGGGGGTGACCAATGGCATAGTTGAAGAGGAGGGTTTTGAGGCGGGACTTGAAGGAGGCTAAGGAGGGGCGAGGATGAGCGAAGGGAAGAAACTGCAAGTGATTCTAATAAACCGACTTCACAGATCAGCTTTGGAGCAATGAAGTTGAGAGGTCAACACTCGTTTCTTAGCGTTACAGTACAACGGAGTTGAGAGCAACAACAGACAGGAAACTCACTCACCTTTCTGATTGACAGATGGACTGGAAGTGCTGATGATCACAGGCATCAGTGTCCCCATGTCCAGCTCGGTCAGCGTCAGCTCATTCATAAAGTAAGGCAGCTGCAGTGGAACACAAATGTGCACAGAGCCACTTAAACCGTTTTCATTCTATTGAGTTATTCATATGATTATTTATTGATTAATGATTAGAAATATTAGCTGGCAAGCGGTTCACTTTGAATCTATTGGACGAAGAGGAATTAGAGAGATAAAGTTAGCCGCAATTCATAACAAGTTTGATTATAATAATAATCCTTGCGTTTGATATAGCGCCTTATCACATCTTTGACCACAAAATATACAGTCAATTCACTTTACAGCGTATCCTGTGAAGCGCTTTGAGACATCTCAAAGACGAGATAAGGCGCTAAACCAAATGCAGGGATTATTATTAGTATTATAATGCATTTTGCAAAGACGAGCTGCCCAGTGTGGTGCATTATAGCCTGAGATGGAAGTTAGTTCCAGCAATAGTGTTCGTCATGAATGACTGCATTCAAGGACGGTCAAACGCAGAGCAGGTTAGGTGGGATCCCAAAGCTACATTTTGCCTTGGAAACATAACCTGCTGTCATCAGAGGCAACGCAGGCACCGCTGTCATGGTGATGGGCCAAATTTGGCCTGATACCATAGTGATGTTTCACCCCACTTGCCAATTTGGAGGAAACTCCAAATGGCAAACATGGCAGTCATTGTCTCTCATTGTCCTTTCCCCGTCCCTCCCTATTCTATGTCAATTGGAGACTCGCACTTCTCTTGGAGACTTTGTGCATTAATAATTTATATTGTTTGCTTATTTGCTTTGACATTAACCTTCTCGTCAAAGTGAGAATCAAGGTCTTTACCATCTGCCTGTGCAGACGGACACTGGAGATCCCATGGTGCTAGTCGAAAACTGAGGTGAGTTTCCCCGGTGTCCTGGCCAGCAACCCTTCAGATCACATTGGCCATTCACTTCATCATAATAATAGTAATAATCCTTGTATTTGATACAGCGCCTTATCATGTCTTTGTAACGTCTCAAAACCCTTCACAGAATAGATTGTAAAGTAAATTTAATGGTATGTTTTGTGGGTGAAACACGGCAGTCAATTGCACACAGCAGGGTCCCACAAACAGTTGTGGATTGATACCATATTATTTTTTTGGAGGTAGGGGGTGGGGGGTATCAGTACGGAGGTGGGATGAAAACTCTGGCTCAGCTTACCCTGATTTTGCTCAGTTTCTTCTGAACTTTGAAGCAGACCTGGTCGGCCCAGTACTTTTCCCGTAAAAAGTCCCAGAAAATCCGTCCAATCGCCACGTTGATCCAGGACACCTGGGGCTCTTTGTTGACTGGAGTTTCACCTACGATCTGAGGAGCAGAGAGATCAAACATCAGCTTGGGCAACCCAGTCTAATACAACAATAACAGCAACAACGCACCGATACACCACCGAACCTCTGCTTTGCTGTGCCAGGGCTGAATAATTGCTCTCGCTGTTTGGCTGACTGTTTTCAGACACTGACGGCTTTGAAGTCATGCAACATTTCAGCTCCTAAATGTACAATGCACTGCAGAACGTCTATGATACCATCAGACCTTTAGCATCCCAGGGTTCATTCATTCCTAAAGCCAGGTAACAGTGAACGTGTAATGCCTCTTTACACACTTGCATCAGACACAAAGCTTGAGGTTGACATCTGGCATTCGACTATTTAAAGCCCAACCCAAAAGCTCAATCATTTTGCTTTGAAAGGTAAATGTAAGGATAGGCCGTTCACCCGTTACCGGTGCAATAATTCAGCTAGAATCCGTAGTCAATCACTGTCCTCCCACACGACTGTGCGCCGAGCATTTTCATGGCAAATACTGGCAATTGATCACCTTCAAAAGGCCTCCAAGGTCTTGCTCAGCCGTGCAAAAAGAGGGACAGAAACTGCTCCATCGGCATTTGAACAGGTGGACGAGCGATAAAATACGCCTGATCTAAATGTCTAAAGGTTTCTGATGTTCTCTGAAGGGCAGTTTTAAGCCAGCTCCGGAAATTGAGCCTGAAGTTGAAGAATTGTGCAAAATTTGTGCACACTCTGAAAAGCCCAAGAAAATGTGAATGAACGTACTCCGTGGAGTCCTGTAGTGTAGTGGTTAGAGCACTCGCCTCGCGAGCGAAAGGAGCTGGGTTCGATTCCCGGGCGGGGTGAAACGTTAGGCAAATTTCTTTACGCCGCACGCCTCTGTTTAACTTGCAGTAAGAAGGAACTTGGTTGGTAGTTGATTGGCGGAACACTTTTCCAGAGGTAAACATCCTTTTTAAAAAATATTTGGTCACTCAATCCATGACTGTTCGTGGGACACTGCTGCGTGCAATTTGCTGCTGAATTGTGCACAGATGCATGTCCCTGACGTGCAAACTAATCTGCTTCTGACAGAACTCTATTTGGTACCCAGCTTGGTTCTCAGCCCATTGCTCTTATTAAACCATGACAAGTCCATCAAGCTAATCACACTCTTCAGCACCGAATGACTACAATTACCCGGGGTGACCTCTCTTCGGAGGGCTCGGCTGACTTGTGGTCGCCAGGTAACAGCCTTAGGATCAGAGAAATCAGCTGTAATTTCGGAAACCAAGGTGCCAATTACATCAGTCACCGCTTTTCTTTCTTATTTTCTTACCTCAACCCACAGAGTGATGAGCTCCCGTTAACTGCTTGCGGGTTTTATATATAATCCTTGCATTTGATACAGCGCCTGATCACGTTTTTGAGACGTCTCAAAGCGCTTCACAGAATATACTGTAAAGTGAATTGACTATTTTGTGGGGGAATCGTGGCAGCCAATTGCGCACAGCAGTGTCCCACTAACAGTTGTAGATTCAGTGACCAACTTATTTATTTTGAAGGAATTATTACCCACAGAAAAGTGATCCGCCAATCGACTAACAACTGGGTTTGTATTTACTGCTGGGTAACAGAGGTGTATGAAGTAAGGAAACTTATCTAACGTTTTGCCCTGACCGGGAATCGAACCTGGGTTCTCTCGCTTGCGAGGCGAGTGCTCTAACCACTACGATGGAGGGAGTCCACTTTGCTGACGTCTGCTGTGACCTACCTTTTTCCTGTGGGTGGGGCTGCTGTTGGTACTGTGACAAGGACTCAGCAGGGGGCTGGAGTTGTCGGAGAGGGTGAACTTGGCCATATAGGTGTTGTAGTCCAGCAGGATCTTCTGCCTGATGTTGCCGGCCAGATCCTTGGTTTTGAAGAGAGAGGAGAGGTCCTCAGTGCTGTCTCTGCTGCTGCAGTCGCTGTGAGCCAGCCTCCCCGAGGGGATAGCACTGCGATTCTGCGTCAAACCTGCGAATGTACATCAAGCCACGCAAGGGTTGGATTAACCAATAAACTAGGAAACCATGGTTCCCGCTCTGGGTATGGTTGGTGCCCTTCTTTCCCTTCACTCTCCATGCTGCCTCATGCCTTATAAACGTTGTGAGCGGCAGCACAGAGAACAAGAGGAAGGTGGCACCATTAATAGCCCATTGCACCCCCAAAGTGATATATATTTTCCAGCAATCTGCGGCTGTTTGTGGGACTCTGCTGTGTGCTATTAGCTCCTGTGTTTCACCCACAAAAAATATACAGGGACTATGCTTTACAACATATTCTGTGAAGCGCTTTAAGACGTCTCGAAGACTTGATAAAGCACAATTTCAAATGGAAGCATTATTATTATTATTATCAAGTTCATCATCAGCCACCTCTACAATAGTAATTCTGCATCAACTGCTCACACACACACAACCATAACTAAAATCAATATGAAGTGTTGGTGTGTTATTACCAGATTTCCCAGGTTCTCCGCTGGTGGGCTGCCTGTCTTCTGACTGGAATCTGGAAGCCAGCAGGAAGTGTCTGAACCATTCCTCCTTGTCCCTGCCTGTTCTCCCGAACAAGAACAGGGCACTTACTCTACCTTCGCTGGGAGGTCTGAGGGTGACGTCTGGGGTCAGGGCTCCCCTTGTGTTGTCCACTATCTCCTCTTGGTCCTCACTGTCGCTCTCACTTTTCCACTCCTGGTTTGCAGACTCCATGAGTCTGTCCTCTGGCTCAGACTCGGGCTCGCTCAGTAAGATACGGATGGGATATTTCTTATTCCACATTCTTTTTTTGGCGAGGCCGGGCGGGACAAGTGAAATCTGCAATGACCGACAGAGAGAGAGAGAGAGTTCATATGACAGGGGTTTGTGAAGACTGAGTGGAGTTTTAGGAACGATGGGAGTGGAGGAGCGTTTTGAAGAACATTGTAACCTACCTTGCTCTCAGCCAGGTCGTAAGATCGATGGCTGATGAACACCACATCATGTTTGACCTCATCAAAGGTTGCCCATCGAGAGATCTTGCTCTTTGGGTAGGAGAGCTTCAGCAATGGGCCCTCCAGGGTCACATAGACTGAATGGGTCAACGAGGGATGGTACATCTCAGGGTCGTAGTTGTAGATTTCATTCATCCAGCCCTGGAATAAGCAAGAGGGTAAAGAGCATTTGAAAGGGCAATGGATTCTCCTTTTGTTACTGCTATCATGACTGTCTGTGGGACAATGCTGAGCGCAATTGGCTGCCGCATTTCGATATGGGGCAATGCGGGTATTTGGAGTTGAGGTACAGCTGAGCCATGATCTAATAGAATGGCGGAACAGGCCCGAGGGGGTTGAATGGCCTCCTCCTGTTCGCATGTTCCTATCAGCTGCGGTGCAAGAAATCAGCACAACGGTGTCAACAATACAGTCAATGGTTAATCACTAGCACAGACGTCCGCTCAGCGGTGCCAGCCTGCTGAGTATTTTACAAACTAGCTTTCACGTCCTAAGCAGCTGCTATTAAAGATCAGTGAGAATATTTAAAGCAAAGAAAAAGGTTCGGCTTGTTCACAGACACTTTCACACAGAAGGCAAGTGATGGGTAACGAGCAAATGTACTGCTGTGACTGATGCGGTTTGTTTAAGGCAAGCTACTAGGCACCTGGTAACACTGGGTATAATAATGTTGGCAATAACTATTTTGCTTCCGTTGTACAATCCACGCTAATTGCATTTGTTTTTTTTCTCTCATTGGTGAAGGGCAGGCCAGACACCCTGCCTTGTTTGGTTGTGGAGCCCACAGAGTTGTGTATCTTTGCTTTGTTGTGTTTCCTTCCGATCCCCGACTGATGTGCTGAGCTAATTAACATCTGACTGGAAAATAGGTCTCTCTCTCAGTGCGATTGAAGGGGGGTAAATTCAGAACAAATCTGCGGAGACACTACTTCAGTGAGTGAGTAGTAAACTTATGGAACAGGCTCCCTAGGGAGACAGACGGTGGAAGCAGAAAGTGTTTTGAGGTAAAGAGTTTTATCTCAACCTGTAAAAAATCAACTTGGGTTTTGTCACTATCTTTTCAGTCATTGTATGGACTTGCTGATCACACGCACAGTTGCTTAGCAAGAGCCAGATCTATCATCCTGTGCACCATTGGCTGCTTCGTTTCACCCACAAAATATACAGTCCAATTCAGTTTACAGTATATTCTGCAAAGAGCTTTGAAACATCTTGAAGACATGATAGGTTGCTATATTAAATGCAAGGATTAGTATTATTATTATTATTATTCGCATTCTGGCACACATCAATGCACACTGTGGCCAGGACACCTTACGAAGTGCGAGATGCCTCAGTGAGTTCAATCCATTTAGTAGCATTACACGCCACTGATCAGTATTTGATGCAAATGGCTTAGAGTAACTCGTGATCTGCCGTGAATGAACTAAAGTTGCCTGACATGGGAAGTTTAATACGATTTAGTTTGTTTCAAAGCTTTTAATGGCTGAGGGAGGGATTTTAGGCTTCTTACAGGGTAGATTAGGGTCCCGATGAAAGTTCGAAACAACACCCGGTAAAGTAGGGCTTTGCCTTGCTCTAAGAAATAGCGGCTAATGCACAAATATAATCCCAAATATGACTTATCATCAGCAAATGATTTCTCAACTAAAGACCTTGTATGACTGCCCCCCAATGGGTCGGGTTCAAACCACAGATAAAAAAGAGGTGACTCCCCGCCCCGCCTTGCCTCGTGTCTGATTCCACCCACTCCAAGATGTTACCCTACATAAAGGCCGCTGTATCAAAGCAAGTTATTGTTGTTGTGCACTTTAAAATTAAGGGCAAGAGCCTAAATTGCAGAACTATTGGAAAATTATTCAGCAAATATTAATCCATGGGAGAGCTGAAAGTCAGCCTTCCTTTAGCTGGTCCACTTTCACCACTTTATTTACGGAGATGATTTTTTATTATGATATTTTTAAATGGTATTTTATTCCCCTAAGGTAGAGACAAAAAAATGTGGTTTTGGAGCTTTTTTTTGCCGAGCCGGGTGTCTGATACAAGCAGAAACCCATCATCGTTGCTTAAGAGTCTCCAAACCAAGCTGAGGATTCCATGCATCCCACCTACATATGGAAATCCCAGATGTAGACTGTTGGAATGGAATGTGCTCTCTCTCTCTCTCCTCTCTCTCTCTCTCTCTGTGGAGGGTGGCATCCTGCTTACCTAATTCCGGAAAGTATTAGGCACAGGATGGCAAGAGCTAAGGCTTGGGGGGAGTGTGCGTTGGGGGTAACCGCTGGAGTCTAACCAGCTAAACCCTCATAGCTTGCCGTTGAAGGAGTTTACAGAGAGGGGGAAGCTAAAGCTTGTAACAACGGTTTTACCTTCACAACTTCCAGCTCTTTGGGATCGGGGATGAAGCTGTCCAGTTGAAGCTGTCTACTTGCGGGGCGGGTAGTGTGCGAGAGCTTGGGTGTGAGCAGCAGGATGATGAGCAAGGCTGTGAGAAAGCCCAAGGCGAGTCCCAAGCAGAGGCCAGAGAAGTAGGAAGGCAGGGGTAGGACAAAGTAGCTGTAGGTCAGCGTGGCTAAGCATATGAGAGTTTTACTTGGCACAGGTTGTGAAGACACAGGTGGAGTGGAGCTCGGGCTGAAGTAGGAAGAGAAGGTGGATTCCTGCCCACAGAGCATGCTGTCCTCACCGGGCTCCGTTTCCACAATCTGGATCATGTCCCCGTAAGTGCAGATCTCGTACCTCGAACCCTCGACTTCTCCCTGCTTTGGACGAGAGGCAATGCTCAGCTGCTGCTGTCTCCCCCTCCCACATCTACCAGGGGATGTCTCGGCCGGGGGGGACCTCTCGCCATCCTTCCTCTCTGCTTTCAGTATCTCTGTCCGGAGCTTCTCAAACCCAGATCTGATGCCCTTGTTCCCAGCCTCAACGCCAACCCCATCCTCAGCCCCTGAGACGCCGGGGGACCGAGCTCCAAAGGAGTTGGCCTGGGAATATCCTCGGTGTTTATTAGGGCTTCCCCCGCTCTCATCTCCGATGATCTTACTCAACATGTTCAAGGGCTCCTGCATGGCCTCGGAGAACTTCCTCTTGGTGTCCTCCAGTTTGGCTTCCACTTCAGGGACCTTGAAGAAACTGACCTTGCTGTCGGCAGAGGGGGAGAGGAGCGGGGAGGGGGGTGCTGTTTTGTAATCCCCGTTTCTCCCCTTGGGCTGCGTCAGCTGTCGCCAAAGATGCAGGTTGAGCTTCGAGTCCGACTTGGATTGGGTGACCTCTGGCTCGTGGCGGGAGATCTCAGTGGAGATGGATTTGACGAGGCTCAGCAAGGGTCTGGGTAACTGCGAAGACATGTCCCTTGTCTCGATTTCCGTGGACAGTGACTTGACCAGACTGAACAGCGGCCTGGAATCTGTGGAGGAACCGTAGGAGTTCGAAGGCCGTACGTTCAGAGGGACTGGGCAAGGAGCTGATGAGAACAAGATCTGAGCCAGAGATGTGGAATGGGAAGGAGATGAAGGCAGGGATGAGGCCGGGAGGGATAGGTTGAAGTGTTCCTCGGGATGTGGCATCGCCTCCTCCTCTGATGTTCTCTCCTTCTCCCCTTCATCCTCCTTTTCCAGGGAGAAGATCAGTTCATTTTCCTCCAGGTTCTCCCAGTCCCCCTGTTCAGTGGGAGAGGTCAGGTGGATGACTATGTCTTTGCCCTGATGGACCACAGGCTGCTCTGACCCCACATCTTGGTGGTTCCCTAGACTTGATGAATGGCAGGAGGGGCTCAGAAACTCTCCAGGTTCCTTCTCGTCACTGCCGAGTTCCGCCATCACTCAGGGTCGGACGATATCACAGTCAGTGTCTCTGTAAACAAGATAATGTAAGGGTTTCTCAGTATCAGTTATAGTTAGGTTCATCCAAAGGAACGCTCTCTGGTCTCAAGCCTTTTCCTCCAGCCTGCTCACACTAATTACCCCATCAGTTCAACAACAACAACTTGCATTTATATAGCACCCTTCAGACGAGGCATTAAACCTCGGTCCCGACTGCCTGTTCAGGTGGATGTTAAAGATTCCCCGTAGCAGTACTCGAAAAGAGAAGGGAGTTTCTCTCTCTCTCCTGGTGTCCTGGCCATCAAATCCCCCCCAAATAAAAAATGGGTCACTCACTTCATGGCTGTTTGTGGGACATCGCTATCCACAAACTGGCAGCTGTGTTCAAAAATACAGTCACTGCACTTCCCAGTAAATTCTGTGAAGCATTTTGAGACGTCCTCCCGACATGAAGGGTGCAGTATACTAAATGCAAGGATTATTGTTATATCCTGTGCGATTCCAAGACCAATATGTTGCGATCGTTTGGTGAATTTATCACTTTACATTAAAGGCAATGTAATGCCATAATATCACAACACAGCACAAAAACCTGTGATTCACAACCGTTCAACAACAGAGAGAAAAACGTGACTACATGGAGGGGGAAGAGGCTGCCAAAGAAGTTATTTTAGGGAATTTTTTTTTGTGATGACAATTAAATTATCCGGGAAGTTTCTGAAGCCGGATCTCATTGGCAGGGTTGACATTTCATGGCTGGCTGGTAATAAACTCAATCACAGGCCCGCACTGCACACACGCTGGGCTTAAGAAGAATGCCGCAGTTTGCCGGATGAAATAAATAAAATCTCGGATCATTGTCAATCGGCAGAAATTTCACGCTGGGGTGATTAGCAGCAACTGCAGCACTTAATCTGCATCTTGTACACTCGGCTACAATTATCTAGTCTGTCTCCAATCTTCTTGCTTTGTTTTTATTTATGATGCATGCACATGTGGCTGTGTGCATGGATTTGTGTGTGTGTATATACGTTTGGTTGTGTGTGCTTGTGCTTGTGAGTGACTGTGTTTTTGTGTGTCTTTGTGTGTTTGTTGCTATCCTTTACCCACAAAGTATACAGTCACTCCACTATACACTACACTATATCCTATGAAGCATTTTGAGACGTCTCGATGACGTGATAAGGAGCTGCATCAAATGCAAAAATTATTATAGTAACAACTCAGTGTGTTACGGACAAGATGAATGTCAATTTTGTGATTGTTAACAGCGGTTCTGACGTGAATGATATTGCATTTTACGGATCGATTTTCCCCCCCATTGTTTTGGAATGAAGTGTGATCAGAGGAGATGGTGATGATGGCAGTAACCTGGCTCTACACACAGGCACTTTTCACACAAAAAAAACACTTCAGAGAGGCCGTTGCAACCGCCGTGCTCAGCCGTTTAAATCATTCGGGTCTAAATTGATGAACTGCAAATGTCCTGCTGTACAATGCAGGTTATTACTGTGTCATTCAGCTTGTGATTTACTGAGGAACACTGGAGCCACATGATAATGTGTGTGAGCCTGTTGCAGTGCTTGGACTCTCGCCTCTGAGTGAGAACATTATGAATTCTTTCTCTCTCATAAAGTGAACAGTGAGATTTTCAACGTTATCGGGGACCATTCAGCCCGCGAAGGCTTTCATCGGTCATACGTAAATAATTTGAAAATGTCAAGTCCCCCACCCCAGCAACAACAACAACAACTTGCATTTATATAGCGCCCTTCATACGGGGCAGCGTCCCAGAGCACTTGACAGTGGCAGAGTCCGAGGGAGGTATCAGAGCACGAAGGGATTTGAGACCGTCTGAACGGGGTCAGTATCGATGGCAAGCTGACGCTGAGCTGCTGCTTGTCTGGCAGACGAAGGAAGGCTGCCTCTGATCAGCCAGTCATACAGATTGCGCTGGGGGAGTGCCTGGCCACTCACTGTACACGCTACTCTCCATGTCAAGTGCCAATCTCCCGAAAATGTCTGGCAGAGCAGATCCTGGTGAGGTGGGGGAAAGATCAACAAGACTCTGCATTGAAAGCTTCTGTGCTCAGCATTTCAATAATGATAATAATCCTTGCATTTGATACAGCACCTTATATCTTCGAGACGTCTCAAAGCGCTTCACAGGGTACATTGTAAAGTGAATTGACTGTAGATTTTGTGGGCGAAATGCGGCAGCCAATTGCGCACAGCAGCGTCCCCACAAACAGTTGTGGATTGTGTGACCACCTTATTATGATTATTATTTTTTTTAAATGTAAGGGGTTATTACCCCCCGGAAAAACGATCCATCAGTGACCTCAGTAGAGAGAATTCTATGCATTGAATCTTATAGAACAGCTACAGCTATAGCACGGAAACGGGCTATTCTAGTCCCTGCCAGTGTTTATACTCCACACTAGCTTTCTCAGCCCTATAATCCCCTCTCCCTTACCCATCTGTTTCCTCCTCACTCACGTATGTGGGCAAGAGAGAGAGAGAGAGACATCATAATTCCTAACTTGCTGTCTTTTCAATCAAGGCAATTGTGTTTGGATGATTCGATTAGAAAGAGTGAATTCAATTTGACGCTTCATTGAGAACGAAGGTTGTCTGGGATCATTACAGTCGCTGTGTAATTTGGGATTCCTGACTTGCAAGCTCAAAAGTCTTATTAGCTTCAATCTTCAGATGTTGGACCGGTGACGAGTTTAGAGACTGCACGGTAACTGTGTGTAACATCTCAAGCATAAACGTCAGCCTGGCTCAGTTGGCAACGCACTGGCCTCGGAGTCAAAAACACACTTAGGTTTCTGCGAATTGCTCACTGACTTTAAATAAGGTCCGTGAGACAACCGTCTACCACAAACTCTATTAGCCTTGATTTCTTAGTTGTACAGTAAAATCCTGATAACTTGTTACTCCAAGGGAAAGGACTCGGTGTCCCACGAACAGTCATGGATTGAGTGACCAAATTATTATTTAAATTTTAAAAAAATGTGTTACCTCAGCACCTTGGGACGTCCTCCCGACATGAAAGGCGCTATACAAATGCAATCTTGTTGCTGTTGTACCCGCGGGAAAGCGATCCGCCAATCAACTAACAACTGGGTTCCTACTTACTGCAAAGTAAACAGAGCGGTGTGGAGTAAGGAAGCTTGCCCAGTATTTTGCCCTGGCTGGGAATCTACTCCAGGTTCTCTGGCTTGCGAGGTGAGCGCTCTAACCACTGAGCTACAGGACTCCACTGCAGTTCTGCAGTTCATGTCAACTCATCACTATTTGCAGTGCAGCCCATTTGCCACTCAGTGCCTTCAGCCACAAGTCCATTTACGTTTTTAAATGACTTCCGAATTGCAGTTGTCAGTTGCGGTGTGCACTGAGGAGGGAGAGAATCGATAGCAGTCTGTAAAAAGCTTTATTGGCACCAGGACTTTGAGCCGGGCTGAGGGACTCGATGCACTCGGCTTCTGAAAAATATATCAAACAAGGGGCAGAGGAGAACAGGACCTATAGCAGGCAGGAGAAGGAGATGCAACAACAACTTGCATTTATATAGCGCCCCTCACCCAGCACAACACCGAGCTGGGGGGTGAGGGGGGGTGACCATAGGTACGGTCGAAGAGGAAGGTCTTCAGGTGAGATTTGAAGACGGGTTAGGAAGGGGCAAGGGGGAAGGATAAGAAATGTTGATGGAGGATTGAATGCTTTTGCAGTGTCAATGCTCACACCATCCAACACATCACAGTAACACATCATGAGACGAGGCACAGTCTGGTGTGTGGCACATCTCATCATCAAAATAATTGGCACCTTTGAAGCAAGTCACCATTTCCTAGTGAAAGGCAATGTTCTTTCACTGAGAACCAACACTTGAATCTGCTAGAAGCCTTGTGAGCTTCACTCACTAAAGACTGGACACCACAATGCATTAAGTTGCATTGCTCACATGTCCATTTCAACCCCCCCACCCCCCCCCATCTCCCTCTTTTGCTATTTGGAACATAGTTGGAGCATTTTCTTTTTGCGCCCAGGTCAAAAAGGGCTTGCGATTTTACTCGAAAGCAGTTTTCCAAACTTGTTGAAAGATATTGCACAGTACTTCAAATTTACATGAGACAGTGAGAGAAAGAGAGAGAGAAATTCAATTTGAAAACTGAAAAACCCTCTGGAAGTTCAGTGAGTTAACAGCACACCACTGAGAATGAGTCCTGTAGCTTAAAGGTTAGAGCACTCGCCTCGCCAGCGAGAGGACCTGGGTTAGATTCCCGGGCAGAGCGAAACCTTACTCCACACACCGGTTTACCCGGCAGTAAGTAGGAACCTGGTTGTTAGTCGATTGGTGAATCGCTTTTCCGGGGTAATAATCCCTTCAAAAAAAATTAATACTAATAACTTGGACACCCAATCTACGACTGTTTGTGTGTCGCTGCTGTGTGCAATTGGCTGCCGAGTTTTGCCCACAAAATATACAGTCACTACACTTTACAGTATATTCTGTGAAGCGCTTTGAGATGTCTCAAAGCCGTGATAAAGCGCTATATCAAATGCAAAGATTATTATTATTATAATGACACAATGCATAGAGTAAGTGCAAGACTAAAATCAGTGCAGATAAATGCATATATATTTGCCTTTTTTTTACAACCAAGAACCTAATTTGAAACCATTGCCCACTGAGGCAAATAATGCAGCCTTTCAAATAAATGTATACACCAAAGGCAGTGCTTTATAAGAACTTATCAGATCTTAAGATGCTAAGTTATTGGCCTCAACTCTTCATTGCAGAGCTACAAGAAACTAATTGAGTGGAACAGACAGATAACAAGGATTTTTTTAAATTAAAAAAAGGTCTTGCTGTGCAGATTCATATTAATTGGTAATAATCTCTTAAAATAATAATAATAATTTGGTCACTCAATCCACAACTGTTTGTGGGACACTGTTGTGGGGCAATTGGCTGTCACCTTTCACCCCCAAAATACACAGTCAATTCACTGTACAGTCTATCCTGTGAAGCGCTTTGAGACGTCTCGAAGACGTGATAAGGCGTCGTATCAATTGCAAGGATTGTTATTATTATAATTGCTTGCAACCCTGTGAAACTAAGGGTTTTTATTGTTTTTGGAACCCTGTCTAAACCCAAGCTATATCTGTAGCTGTTTTTGTTTTGGGGTTCCTTAAAGGAATAGCATACGCTGATGGGGGGAGAGAGAGAGAGAGAGACACCCACACACACATACACACAGACACAGACAGGCAATCTTACCAGTTCTTTAAGGTTAGAGCAAAGGACAGGAATCCATCCATCCTTGCTGGAGTGTAGGTTTGCATAACGCTACAGAGTCATCATCATTACTTGACTTGAGAGAGAGAGAGAGAGAGCGTGTTACATTGAGATTTCCCTGTTAGATTTCCCCCGTTCAGCAGTCAGCTCGGGTGTTCTGTTGCTTTACAGGGCTGAGGAGGGTCTCGTTGTCATCGACAGTCAGCATCTGGCTTCCAAAGAGAACTGTTTGCGATGTGGGTCTCAGAAGACATTCCCTGTGTGCCTGTATCTGTGCGCACTTTGCTCGATCTGTCTGTGTCTATGTGTGTGTGTGTGTGTTGTGCCTTTGTGGGTCAGGCGTGCGAGAGCAGGTGCAACTCCAATCTGCACACATGTGATTATCCCCTCACTCCAGCATTGCTTGGCTTTAGCATCTGCGTCGCTGCTCTCCTCCAGATTTAAAGTGCTCTCTGCATTGTTAAGCCTGCCAGCCTCCAATTTTCCAATCCTTTTCATTTGTAACTTGCCTCTGTGCCTGGGAGATGTCACAGCATGATGTCAGTTTCCCCCCACCCCCCTCCCCAGTCTTGAGCCAGCTGGCAACTTTGCTAACAACGCAGACACCAGATCAGCCAGAATAGAATAGCCCGCAAGCCGCAGTCTTGAAGGAGGTGTGTGTGTGTGTGTGAGACTTTGTACAGGTTTATAAGATTTTAAATGGGATTGAATGAGCAAATGCCTCACGATACATTAGGATGCGTTAAGACAAGTCAGAGGAACGAGAGAACATTCAGTGGATTCCTGTAGCCTAGTGGTTAGAGCACTCGCCTCGCAAGCGAGAGAACCCGGGTTTGATTCCTGGGCAAGGCGAAACCTTAGGCAAGTTTCCTTACTCCATGTGCCTCTGTTTACCAAGCAGTAAGTAGGAACCCGCTTGCTAGTCGATTGGCAGATTGCTTTTCTGGGGGTAATAATCCCTTAAAAAAAATGTAGGCACTCAATCCACGATTGTTTGTGGCACGCTGCAGTACGCAACTGGCTTCTGCTTTTCACCCACAAAATACACAGTCACTACACTTTACAGTATATTCTGTGAAGTATCTTGAGGCACTATAATCAAATGCAAAGATTATTATTATTATTGGGATAGGATCACAAGGGGCAATTTCAGGACAAGCCATCAGGATGTTTTTTGTTATCCAGAGGGTAATTAATGACATGACAGAAGAGAGGTTGAGGCGATGGGGGTGCGGTGGGGCTGGGGGTGTGTGGCCTTTCCTGTTCCCACACATAAACCCAGTGTATTTCCCTGGGAATAATGAGATGTCATTGTATAATGCTCACTAATAAATATTTCTCCAGCTAACAAGGCCAGTTTAAAGCTACTGTATTTAAGTGCAGTATTTCCATGTTAGTTCCGCTCAGGGCAACGTCTTCCAACCCCGAACCTGAAAACATACAGTCACAGTACATTCTGTGAAGCGCTTTGAGACATCTCGAAGACCTGATAAGGCGCTATATCAAATGCAAGGATTATTATTATATCCCTTGCAGTTTGAGTTTCAAATATTTTATTTCAGTAGAACCTTGTTTAGTGAAAGCTCAATATCCCAGAGGACTTAATTAGCTTTGCACTATTTTCATGCTTCATTGCTCAATCTTGACTTGTACTTCCGTGATCTGTATTTAGTGAACCTACGCTGTTGCTCGGGGAAAATAATTTGCGCTGAAATTATAGAATCGAATGGAGTCATAGCAAAGTGTTTAAGAAGACGTTACCCCCCCCCCCCCCCCCCCCCCCAGATGTAGTCTGGTCAATGTGAACGTGTTCAAAGTATCTTTCACAACTAAAATATCCCCTCACTGAGGATTTCTTGTCAATGAGCTGTAATGCTTGTTTGTTTTGTCTTTCCGTGCATTGTATCTCTTCCTCTCCTGAAGATGGTGATTTACATTGGCACGTGCTTTCAATCTCCCAACAGGACCTTCAACATTTTCTAATCCAAAATAATGAGCGTCAGTCAGCCATCCAACTCTGAGCAAACTAACACATGAGTCCCATCCCAATGTTTATATTTCCAACAAGCCTTATAGAGTGGAAGAGGTGGGAAGGAAGGAGGGAGGGAGGGAACACCAGGAAAAAGGAAGAATGTAGGAAGGGGAAGAAGGAAGAATCAGCCACAGGCTTTTTCTCGGTGTTCCCTCCCTCCCTCCCTCCTTCTTTCCTACATCTTCCTGCCTCCCTTCACACTTCTGTGATGAGCCTGATCTGGATGGATTAGTGTAACGTCACATAGTGCCTTCACTCACCGAGGCACCAAGGAGACGGTTTAAACAGCCTGATGCCTTTTCAAACAATAATGTAACTATGGAAGAAAAACAGCGCTGGTGGGAGCACAGCAGGGAGCAAGGTGACGTGCTTGCTTTGATGTAAAACCGTTTCTGATTTGTGTGACAAACCAATTGCGCTTAAACCTTTCTCCTCCAAGACGTTAGACGTGTCTAACCCTGCCCGGTCACAGAGATATCAAATCTGCAAAAGCTCTGCTGGAAGCATTTGTGACAAAAATAATACCAGAAAGTGTGAATGATATTGTGGATAATGTAACTCTATTTAAACGCACGTCTCATTTAAGTTCACATCATCTGCTCCTTGCCACTTTGGTGTGTAGTGCAGGGTTTGTCGCAGAAGGTGGTGCTCTTGTATTACCCCCCCTTCCCCCCAACCAACCCCCATCTGGCCCATGCTGAAGCCGTGGTATTTAAACAGGAATTTTGAAGCAAACAGAATGATTCTGACCAATACGTTTGCACAAAATGTCACGCACAGTCCACAAAATATACAGTCACTCCACTTTACAGTGCATCCTGTGAAACGCTTTGGGACATCTCAACGCCATGATAAGGCGCTATATCAAATGCAAACGCAAGGATTAAGGACTGGAAGCGACCAGATTGACCTTAATATCTTCTGTCACTGCAGTTTGCTAATTCAGTGTTCTGAACTTCAATGAGTTGATCTTGGGTCAGGAACATAATCCTTAGTTTCTGGACAGTATCCAACAGCCTGGGAATTACTACACAATCTGATCGTTGAAGCAGATTGAGAGGTGACTATAAGGAGCTGTTCGGCACAGCGCATTAGCACATTGACCTTTCGCCTCTGGGACCAGGGTTTGAATGAGGCACAGCAGGATATGGGATGCACGTCTCTGATCCTTCTCAGTCCTTTTACCTGGTGCACAGTCCCTTCACCTACGCCCTTCCTTGCCTCCTTCAAGACCCATCTCAAGACCCTCCTCTTCAACCATTCCTTCGGTCACCCTCCTACTGCTGCCCTCCCTACCCTCCAACCTTCCTGATCACAACCTCCAGCTCGAGTGCAGCCCTGACTGTCCAGCGCCTTGGGATGTCCCCTCAACGTGAAAGGCGCTGTACAAACGTAATTTATCGCAGTTGTCTTTTATTATATTATTGAGCAAAGTCACTTTTGGTTGATTTAACATGTATTTTAAGAAAACCTAATAAAAGATACACATATATATCATATGTTGCTTGTTTAATATATTTATATATAACATTCCATCAAAGTACAAGTCTTGTAATTCTAATTAATAGGCGAAGATAAGGGAGAGAAATGTTCTGAATTGCTGAATTATTTGCTCATCAGGAATAGGCTGCAGCTAAAAATCATTAAGAATTGAATGCTTTGCATTGCAATAGTGTTCATCGCACTCTCCAAGGAATTGCTGGTATCTCAAGGCAGTTGATCGATCAACAGAATTGTATTCACAAAGGTTGAAACAGCAGCCCTCGCAGAGGCAAACAGACGATGGGTTTTACCTCACTATCCCTAACACTATCCCTATGGAGGGGGTAACACAATAATCCTTTGCTGAAGTCACGGGATATCTGACGATGAAATAACGCATATCTCTGTTCATATAAATCCTTCGAAACAATCCAGGATTTCATCGATGTACTTTTTACAGAAACGAATCAATAAACCTGCCAATAAGTATTTTGTCTATTGCGAGTGTTTAACTGCAGTGCTTTGACCTTTGAATACGTTAAGAAGTCTCCTCTGTTTCTCTCATTCAAACAATTACTGCCCAAAGGCGTTGACTGTTTTTTGCTAGGCAAATGCAGAAACTAATTTCCACAAAAGATGAGGTATTTGACCAATTAACGTGGATTAGGTTTACCATTAAACGTTGACCGGCGAAACTCCTTTTCTTTGCATTTACAAAGAATGTACAGCAAGGAAACAGGCCCAATCAGTCCATGCTGGTATTTATAATCCACACAGGTGTCTGCTCACGGCTGTACCCTTCTAGTCCCCTTTCTTCATGGGAAGATCTAGCTCCTTCCTCTTGAATGCATCTACACTATCTGATTCAACCACCACTTCAGGCAACGAGTTCCACAATCTCACTATCTTCTGCATGAAGTAATTCCTCCTGAATCCTCTTTTAGATTCCCCAAGTCGCTATGTTATACTTGTGTCCCCTGGTTACGGACTCCCCAACCAGTAGAAACAGCCTATTATTGATGCTATCGTGCA